CTTCTTACAAGAATGTATCTCATGTTATAAGACACTCGTGGTACAACGATAGCGTTCATCCCACTAACGATAGGTCTATTTTTTATCTCGTTTATGTGTAATAGTTGACTATGGGAAAGGGATTGAAATTCATTTCTAAATCTGTTGATAATGTTCCGAGTGGCACGAAAATAGTAATGTGGCTCTAGAGCCCCAGATAAATGGGCCGAAAAAATACATTGGGTGAGAGGTCTACTCGTGTACCTCGTCTGTGGCACGAGCGCTAGCGTCGGCCATTTTGCGCTCGCAGGATAAAACGCGAGACACAAAAAGGTCACAATTAAGAAAACATTTCTTTCCAGACGCTACAAACTCGCGACGGTGCGCTAATGATTACGCTTGGTGCACAGCAAGGGCTACTCAAGACCGCTTCACGCGTTATGAAACAAACGTAATTGACGTTTCGTACATTTCATTTTACGCTGTTTTATTGCAGCGCAACGCCATCGAACGTATCGATATATATTGATATTTACAAGCGTTGGAAACGTTACCAGTCGAGGTTTCTTTCGAATTTTTAAAGCAAGAAATAGCAGGAAGTTAAGAGGTGAAGGAGTCTAGCAGCAGACTATTGCCTCGTTTCTTGCATCAATCTGCGTTAAGAGTACTCGCGACGGAATCATTCCACCCACTGATTATGTTTCTTCAGCTCGAACGATCGTCGACTCGAGTGGCCGGCGGTCGTGTAATTAAAAACCCATTTGTGCAGTCGGTTTGAATTCTACCAGTTCCGAGAACAATGTCTCGTCCAAGCCTCGTGAAACCGCATGAAACGTCGATTTTACTACGGAAAAGAAAAAAGGAGGCAGTAATGTGTCTACACGGTGCAGTGGAATTCCCCTCGCGATATCAGTGGCGTAGCTAGAATTTATGTCAGATGGCTTACTAAAAAATTGGAATACCCGCACTCGCCAGCAGAGGGACACGGTCAACCTGTACCTTTCTCACAAGCGCTTAATCGATCATCTATTTCTATATATACACTCTTCGACGGGCCATTCAATGTCCTGGCGTCCAGGACTCCTACAAACAACAAGCCATTACAATACCGTGTGTCTTCCTTTTAAAGTGGACAAATTAAAAATACAATTTCTACAAAGTTTATTGTAAGAAAAATTTGCAATATATTACAATAATTAGGACCTTTATTGGAACTTTCGGTAATTCCTTAGCCCACAGGGCAAGACACTCCCGGGGCCTAACTTTTACAACACCAGCGTCCTGAATTCCCTCCCATTTTGGTCGAATTTCCCGGTGAACTTTCAGCCGCGGAGATTTCGTTGCATTCGAGAGTCATTAACGCGAAGTGGCTTGCCCGAGAGTGGATTTCCAGCTCGAACGGGCTCGTCTGCTTTTACGCGTGTCACCCTTTCTCGAGGGACGTCCGCAGCGTGTTACGTACACGGATGGCAGTAAAAGAAACGCGCGAGACAGGGCGACAAAGAGACGCGGCAAGGAAACCAGAGGGGGGGGTGGTGGAAGGCAAAGGAACAACGTCGAGGGGGTGGGTTACGGGAGGAAGGTCGGTCGTAACGGCGAATAGAACAGCAGCATAAAACGTCGCGGGGAAGGCGCGTTGGTCTCCCGCAATTTCTTCGGGATCGACGAACCTACCCTACGCCCGGCTTATTAACTTTTATGAGGGGCGGCGAGGGACGAGTGAGAAAAGGACAGTGGCCGGGCGGAAAAAGAAACGACGACGCGCCCGTTCCACCGCGCGAAAATATTCGAGACGACTTCTGCCCGGAATACGAGGGCGGTTTTAATCCTTCGACGCTCCCCTGATCCACCGTGGCGTTTGTACAAGATGTTTCTCGAAGAAAATGTCGATATATTTGGCGAACGTACGCCAACGAACGCTTCTTCAACGTGGAATTCTGTTAATATCGTACAGGGGTGTAAATAAATTCTCATTCGTGAATTCTTAATGGTATAGATGCTTATTTAAAAGGTGTAAAATAGTTCACCGTTCGCCAGCAGAGGGCTACGCTCAGCTACTCTCTCTCTCGCAAGCTCTCGACTATATACACTCTTCGATCAGCCATTCAATGTCCTAGGGTTGCTTTCTTCTTCCTGCAACAGCAAATCATCGCAAGTTATTTAAAATCAATTAAAAAATTGTAAAGTAGAAGGGTCCAACCTTTAATAAATTATTCCAGCGTAAAAGCGATCCTCGATTTTTATGGACGAGTGGTACTCAACCAAAGAACAATGATAAAGGAAGAGAGATTGAAAACATCGGGAGATATTTCGTCCACCGAACGCAACCCGGTTTTAATCATCTTAATGCACGGGACCAGCGAGACGTCCAAACCACCCCCGGCCCCGTTCCTGCGAAAGACGCGTTTGATCTTTGGTAGCCGTAAACGTTCGAAACAGAAAAACGCCGTGGTAAGATCGTCGAGACACAGAACGGGGCGGTAAGGCGCAAAGGAGGAAGAGAAAACGGGAGGAGAGGGGGGTGAGAGACAGAGGGAAAATGGAGAGGGTTGCCGAGAGGTCGGTGAGACGAATGACTCCCGAGGGAAATTTAGGTGCGACCTCCATGTATCACAGAACCTGCCTGTAAGTAGGTACGTAACCGACTTACGTACCTACACACCGCATACGCGTGCACGTGTGCCCGTACACTGGCCCGGATCCACCGTCGACGGATTCGCCGATCTGTGGAATCGCGGCGCGAAACGCCTAGCGCCGGCAAATTGCACCGTTCCGGACGTTTCAGAATTTACAGAAACCGCATAAAGCGTCGGGGAGATTCCGCGGCTGCAAAATGGTGGAAATCCTTGCGTCGAACGATGCTCGATCGCCCGTTGGTCGCGGCCGCGGTGAGTCTCTACGGACGGTGTTATCCAAATTGGGACTACCATCGCCAGACAGGCGTTCCCGGATCCAACGAGGGTGCAGAGGAATACGTCGAACGGCTGCGTGGATGAACTATTACGTGTAACTGAAATGATTCACGAGGCTTGGTGTCTTTTTATTAACAGAATCTCCATTTTATTGGGAGGTTTCAAAAGGAAATTTGCATGAACGGAGGGTGGTGAAAATATGGACCGATTTTTGGAGAGTTTTAAATTATTTAAAAATAAACGTAAAATACTGACGATGTTACTCACCCGGTTAATGTGTTTCGATACAAAAATGATGAATGCAAAATGTTTTCAATGATTGGTACGAAGAAAAGGAATTCTGTCTGGGTTGAATTTCAAGGTACTTGGACAGCACTAATGGCGGAACAGCGGGTCCTGCAAGCAGTTTGAATGTGTCAACGCGCCCACTGTCCTGTAGAGACAATAGAGGTTTCGAAAGGCTTCCGACCATTGTGGACATATGGGGTTCTAACCCTACTGTCGCGCTGGAAATTCTTAGTACAATAGCGGATGCACTGATTGGATATATTCCAGTCCCGATATCCGAGGGAGGAGTAAATGCTGGGACAGATCAAAGCCCGGATATAACAGGGCTACCTTAGAGCTTAATCGCACTCCGCGTCACCTGTTGACCGACGTACGTCGTCCATCTTGTTTCACAAACCGCACCTACTTTGTCATTTTCGTAAATACGATACACGCGTATGACTAGCTTCTCTCCTCTTCAACCCTGGGAAAAATTGTAATGGGAGATTCCAGAGGCCAAAATAAGACTAAAATCAAGAATACCAATTTGCTGATGGAGGCTTCGTTAAAAAGTTATTAACGTTCAAAGTTTTGTACCTTCTCGAATTTTTTTCTAGAAAGTGGGTAGGATTTCGGGGGTATGTCTATCCACCAAAAATGGTTGTAATTGACCCCCTCGCCCGAAAATAATTTTTCCAGAACGATTTGAAATTGTTGAATTTAATTGTTAATAACTTTTTAACGAAGCCTCCATCGACAAATTGATATTCTTGATTTTCGTCTTATTTTGGCCTCTAAAATCCCCCCACTAAATTAAAAACTTGCACGGTTCCTAATTCTTTCGATCTAAGCAAATACGTTTTCCCGCCAAAAAACGTACGAAAGAAAGGCTACTACGATCACTACGTTAAGATACAAGTAAAACGCGATAACGTTCCTATTCACGGACCGCAATCTCAAGATCAAAGTTCCACTCACCTTTGATCTTCGATCAAAAAATCTTTGGGGAGCTTAGTTTCGTAAATGGAGACGCAATACGGTTCGTTGGGTGAACATAACCTTGCGTCGTAACAACGAGCACGCGTTGCAGACTCTCGAGAATAGAACGGAATCCACGAACAGACCAAAAGCACGGGTGATAAAACGGCCTTTGGGTTCTCGTGAACTTTTTTCCCCCCCCCGTTCCACCCCCCCGTCCCTTCTGCATAGCATCGAACGCTAAGATCCCGACGGGAAGAGAAATGGTAATAAAATCGATGCCCTGGATCTGCCGGCAGTTTGTAATTGAATCAAATTAATCAACCTCGTAGACCCCGAGAGTCCGGACCGGCGTCGCTGTGGCAGCGAGCCGCTTACATCTCCAATTAATAGCAGAAAAGCTCCACGTTTCGTTGGAACTTTATAAAACGAATCCAATTACGGACGGCCGTTTGTCAAAGGCTCAAAGCCACGGAAAGTTTTACCTCGGTTCGGAAATGACATCGGCCGGCTGTTTTCCTTCTCCACTTTCTGTCAATAGAGGATAAATGAGAGACCCGCGGGCGTGGCATTTCAAGTCAGCCGCGAAACGACATTGTCGCCGCGCGTGATTTCCAATTTCCATCGAGCATACAGGGTGTTTCCCCCCTACGCTTTAAAAGAAATAAAAAAACAAATGTGAACGCACGTTAGCCTAGCCTGTAGCAGCACTTAAACGATATTACACTTCACGTGTAATCAGAGGAGTTAAGTTTTTGCTTGTCTTGGAATTATTAAAATAATTGTTAAAACTTTTGTTGAAATAAAATATTCCGTACCCGTACGTAGATTTCCTCGTATTTAACAATAATTACCGTTCATTTACATCCTGTGTTTACTTGTTTTATTCTGATATAATATACTCAACCTATTTACAAAACAAAGATAGCCATTTTTCGATCGGATTTAACCCTTAATGAGTTAATTATTCACACGTATTTCTGAAACACCCTGCATAGCAAATGGAACGATCCAAACCATCAGGTTTCACGTGGAGGGATTCGGACGAGTCTGAACGAAGTATTTTCAGATAAACACTTTTGGGTTAAAAAATAAACGAACAACAAGCGATCGTATACGGTGCTGTTCGAAGACATTCGTTAAAATTAATCTTACCTCAACTAGGCTCGCTTCTAACGGTTACGTGTCGTGAGAAACGCAGTAATATATTTGCAAGAGAGAAAACATTAATTTTATTGATGCATTTTGAATACCAACTGAATAGGTATCTTGGTACGAAAATCACTTCTTAAATATTAAAAAATATTTCTCCGCTAAAACGTTTTATCTATCTCTCAGTTACAATTAGACGGACTAATCGGGATTGGAATTCGTGATTGTTACAGGCTTACGGTAGAGTACAACTTTAAAAGCATACACTTTTGTTCGATAATTGTACGTCTACGTCATGACACACACGATGCAACATGTCTTCGCGTGTCTATAAACGCGATCCGCTTTCTGACTAGGTCTGGTGGCACTCGCAAATTACGAACGGTCCATTAGATCGTATAACATTCTAAAAACCTGTTTCCCATCGAAACGTTTCAATGTTAATTTATCGTTAACCTTCGATAAATTTTGTTTAAACTGCAAATGGATTTTACATACGGTCCGACACGCCTGCGATGTTAAAATTTAGCACGAAAGATCAAACAGTCATTCGTGGACGGTAAGTACCAAGCACTATACACGGATTGATTTTATAGTCAGGCAAATGCTGTCGAAAACTAACAGCTTGGCTCTTTAACAATACTTTACACGATTTCCTTGTAGGAGTTGTAAGCTAATCCAAAGGAACGAGTGTCCCTAGCAACCCGTAGCTTATTCTACTTTCATGGGGAAAAGCGAGAGCTTTAATAATCAATTAATATGATCAACTACGGTGTAAACCTATGTACATCAATAAAAACACGTTTCCCTAATTTCGCCTACGCTTACCCCTCTATTATAGCACTTACATACATAAACTTTTTGGAAATAAAATGCGATACGTATGTGCGAAATTCGGATCCGTAAAAACGGATTGCTACTCTTTTTACAAAATTTCGAAACAAACCCTAACACCTACTATTACGAAAATATAAAATTTTAACAGCAAAAATAACAAAGGGCGTGTAACGCTTACCAATACAAGTGGAAAGTGTTACACAAAATGTGCTATTTGAAATTATATCCTTTTAGAGCAATTTTGGCTTGTTCACGTATTGTTTGGCGTGATGAATAATGGTTGCAAACGTACCACCCACCATGGCGCCCCAAAATAGCATATATAACAAAATTTCGGTGGTGTATCTCGAAGGGAGAAAGATATGAGCAACCAACATCGACGATGCAACGATAAGTACCAAGGGGAATGTGGCGTAACGCCAGTTTCTTTCACTGTCTAAAGGACATTGAACCGATGTGCATTCGCCATCTTGCACGATGTAACGACCCAAGAATAAATCCAGAGAATCCTGTTAAACGAATATAATAAAAGTAATCTTGCACAAATATACAAATTAACAATTTTCTAGGCACAATAATCGCATACCTGTCTAAATCCGTCGGCAAAATTATTTTTATAATATCTTGTTAACGAAGTCACGCCGTCTCTCATAGCACCTAATTTAGTGCGTTTCCCGGTTCGAGTAAAATCTGTTTTCAACGCGCCAGTCCCTGAATACTGAATACTTATCACATCAGCATTGTCGGCCCAAATCTGGTAATGGTATATTAAAATTTAATATGAAGGGAAATCGCAACGGAAATAACTGAATAAATTATAGTCACCCGTTTAAAATGTTCTTCTACGCTAGGGTGATCTTCGATTCTCCTAAGAATCTCCAATTTTGATAACGCATCGTTAACGACCCTCTTTGCTATCATACTTTGAACAACATTGGTTCTATCGAGGCAATCGATACAGTTGGTACGAAATACTCCGTCCTGGGCAGATAATAACGTTCCGTCGTCCAGAAGGAAAAAGTAACCCATCTGTTCCAACTCGTGGGCTAACCGATCGAGCAAAACCTTCAGCCGATCCCATCTTAATCTTCTGCATTCGGCGTGGAAATCGAAGCTCTCGTACTGAACGTCCGGATTGTTAATTCGTTGTACTACGTTGTGGTATGCTTTCTCGAGGGTAGCCTCTGGACCACGATGATCGATCTGTAAGAAAGGAATATTTGATGTACAAGTAAAAGTTAAAGTTAGTTTAACCAGTTGCTTAACCACTTACCAAATTGACCAAAATTTGCTTCCCATAATGAAATATCTGAGCTTCGAAGTGTCGAGCGCAAGCAGTTTGATGATCTTCGTGGTTGCTCAACTGAGGCGTAGGTTTGTATTTCAAGTTTGGGGTCTGCTGCCAAAACAAAGGAATGGAACCACGCGTTTGTACGAAAGATATACGATGCCCATTGAATTCAATTAACTGTTCCGTTTCTACGTAGTTTGAGACATTACCGGTAGAATCTATACCGCGCGAAAACAGTCTTGTTCCAGCACGGTGGATACTTCGTCTAGATACGATACATAAATTAAACGATGTACTGCCAGACACAGTGAGAGTGTTCAACGATATAACTGTAAAAAAGTGTTAAGAAAAGTCCAAGCATCGTTAAATTACAGGGGAGAGTATATTCTACGGTACTTCTTGCCAGTAAGGATACATCCGTGGATAATAGGCAGACAAAATTTGTACTGCTCAGGCCTTGAAGTTAGATCTTGTAAAAGATAAGCATTCCATACAAATCTAAGATCTGCTCTATCATGAAGTGGCATCTATATATGGTACAAAAGCAATGCACTTTGATTGTAAAGTACAAACAATTATTTAACGATAATTAAACGAATAATCTTAACCTGTAAGAATTCAGGTGGCGTATTATGAAGTCTTTGCATGGTATGGCTAAGGTCGTACGTGTAACTAAAATAAAAGTACGGTGTATTCAACACAGATTTGATCATTTCTAAATAGGTAGCGTTATTCTGTTGCTGCTTTTCGCTGAGATGCAATAAAGATTTCGTATAAGGTATAATTTCTGTTGCAACTATTTTGTAAATTTGATGCCCAGCTATGGTTCCGATGTCTATGGCATTTGTAATGACTATAAGATATCGGCCTGCTAACAGCCTTATGGTTCCTACTATGCCCCATATTTTCCTACGACTTGCAATCGATGGGATTTGACTGGCTGTGCCAGCTGAAACATAAAAGAAGTCGTTCGGTAACAATTAACGTTTGAGTGACAGTAAACGTAAGTTATATCACTAATTACCTTGAGTATAAATTTGCTGACTCACTCTATCAAATACAAGTAACACTTTAGTCCCAATAGGTTCTATGTAGAACTTTTCCGGTGTAATGTATCTGAAAAAAAAATTATTTGATAATGGAGTACGTGTGTCAACAGACAGACTTTTTGATCCAATTGTTCGTTACTTAAATTGCGTTAAAAATTATAGATAAAAAGACTTACAAATACAACTTATCATATACATCTGTATGCAGCTTCATGTCGTCACACAACAATTTTACCGCGATACAAGGATATAAACTAGTAAGAAACGATATACGATAAGAGAAAAATATAAACTACAATGAGAAGAAAAATCGTAACCTATACATATACGCAAAGTAGAATACGATGTAAATTTAGTTATGGATAAATCGTCAAATCGTTGTCAACTGAATATTTGAATTGGCATGATCGAAATCTGTCAAAATCGGAGTAACCTCCGTATGTACCTAAAACGCACCTATGCCTCGGAACGCACACAATGTTCCACACAATTCCGCTGTACGGTGCTGCTTCTGCACCAGTGTCACCAGACCGAGCACTGGGTGCAGTGCAGTGCACTCAGTGCACCAGGAACACATCATTCCACTTTCACACACTGCCTAATCACGTATACGTGAACTCATAGAGTTTCTGAGAGTCGGCAAAGACGAACTAACACTCTCCCTCTTTCTTGATTCCCCGACACTGCCCGAAGCAAACACGAATGCATTTCGGACCGTCTCGAGGGAGTCGAGAGAAAAGACAAATGTGAGCACTTCTCGCTCTCGAGCCATAATGAAAAAAAAATTATGAAAAACACGTTTTTTAGACCCCCTAGCCTGTTCCTTAATCCATATCTAATTTCTTAGCACTGTTGGACTCTCGAGACCGAGAACTGCTTTCAAAAACTTTTGGACTAAAATGCTACTCGAGAACTTACGAGAATTAACTAGTTATTCGTAGCCCTCTGATGAGGAATGCGGAAAGCGCCGCCACATGCCTGGATTGGACATTGCGCTTAAATAAATTTTGGAACTCTTATACAATATCTGTAAATATTATGCAACTAAATGTTGCTTATAAATTATGTATACAATACGGCAATACGCTTGAAATAAACAATTCCCCGATAATTCTTGTTACAGATGTAATCGCTGATCGCGATCGAACAAAACGCATATGCGAAAATAACGACAAAAATCCGACTTGCAGATTATTTGTTATAAAACATTGATTTTTACATGGTATTTTGTTCCTATTATGTAACCCGACAATTATATATTCCGTGACTGTAGTTAATGATAAATAAATTAAATACTACCAGATTCTTATTGGCTAAATACGGAATACGTTAACTGTAATATTTGGCCTCCAGGGCATAAGTTCGAATTCGAATCTATCTTCCAGGCCAGTCGCCGTCAATGTTATTACAGCAATCATTCTAATTGACCTTAGTAGATCTGGAGAGTTCGATCGCTTTCTACGTTATTATCTGCCAGTTGCAATCTTCAAGCAACGCCGAAACATGGTAAGCCTCGAGTGCAGTACATTAATTATTTCTATATTACAAAAATAATTTATAATATTATTACAATCTATATTACGTCCACCATTCGCTTAACCTACGGTTGACCTTCATTAGTCATTCAAAATGTTTACCGATCTTATTTTAACGGTCATTAATTATTTTCACCATTCTCGCTCATTTTAACCACCTGTTTTAATAGGATTATTGATTAATGGAGAATAAGAAATTATCTAAATTCGTAATGACTCCTTTTCGGAATTAAATTGTTCTCTTTTCTTATTTTTCAGAGTGATCCGATAAATGTGGTGGTTACAGGAGCGGCAGGGCAAATTGCCTATTCTCTATTGTACCAGCTTGCTGCTGGTTCAGTTTTTGGTCCAAATCAACCGATCAATCTTCGTTTGTTAGATATTCCAGTTATGTTGGGAGTATTATCTGGGGTAGTTATGGAACTGGAAGATTTAGCTCTTCCTCTTTTAAGAGGTACAAAGACAATGGGCTAGATAATTAAAATATAATATGCAACTACATATTTCAATATTATCATTACTTTAGCAATATAATAATGTTAACTACAGGAGCAACATGTACTTATTACGCAACACTGAGATTAGATAACATGACAAATTTACATGGTGTGACTTCTGTTAATATGAACCTTAGAAACAATGCAAAAGATTATTTTCTTATTTTTAGAAGTTATACCAACAGCTGATCCAGTTGAAGCTTTTAAAGATGTTGCTGCTGCTTTCCTTGTTGGAGCAATGCCCCGAAAGGAAGGAATGGAAAGAAAGGACTTGCTAGCAGCTAATGTAGAAATCTTTAAAGTTCAAGGAGAAGCTTTGGATAAGCATGCTCGAAAAGATGTTAAAGTGTTGGTTGTTGGCAATCCTGCCAATACAAATGCTTTGATTTGCTCACATTATGCACCAACAATCCCAAAACAAAACTTTACAGCTATGACTAGATTGGATCAAAATCGTGCTCAAGCAGCTTTAGCATCTAGATTGGGTGTACAGGTAATTCTAATCTCGCGTCATTTATGTTGCATTTAATTGTTTGTAACTTAATAGAATCTACGTTTTGCAAACAGGTTGACAAAGTAAAGAATGTGATTATCTGGGGTAATCACAGTTCAACCCAATATCCTGATGCTTCCCATGCTATTGTGACCCTTAAATCTGGCACCAAGCCAGTACCTGCAGCAGTGAATAATAATGGCTGGTTGGACACTACATTTGTAGAAACGATTCAAAAACGTGGTGCAGCTGTAATATCAGCAAGAAAAATGTCATCTGCGATGTCAGCTGCTAAAGCAGCTGGTGATCACATGAGAGATTGGTGGATGGGTACCAAACCAGGAGAATGGGTCAGCATGGGTGTACTGTCTGATGGCAGTTATGGAATTCCAAAGGATATTGTGTTCTCTTTCCCAGTTAATATACAAAACGGACAATATAAAATCGTACAAGTAAATATTTTTTACAGCATCTAATAACCGAATATATTTTAGAAATAAAAGGTAACTTGACGATTATATAATTTTAGGGACTTTCGATCAGTGATGTTGCAAGATCAAAATTAACTGTTACATCCAACGAGCTACAAGAGGAACGTGCAGAAGCAAACAATGTGCTACAAAAAAAGTGACTAAAATCAAGGAATGATGATTCCGAAAAACGCATACCTTATTCCGCGAAATTGTAAAAATAAATGTTACAGTTTCTGCACGATATATAATGTAAACCATGGTTGTCTTATGAAGCCTTTAAAACGACACAAATAGGTCTAATGTACAATATATTAACGACGTATATGTAGATCATATATTATGTGGGATCTAGTGAAATGCGTATCTTTTCTAAATAGCGAGGGAATATGTTAAATACATGCGTTTATATTCATAGACTGTATAAAACACGTAACAAATTATGTTGAAAAACCATGTACTTTATAACGTTTTTTTTCTTTTATTCTTTTCCCCAAGAATCAATAATAATTTATATTACAGTAATAGTAACTATTTCTCATATCGATATTATTAATCAATCTTTTTTTCACATTTATATTATCTTCATATCTTTTCTTCTAGACACTATTATTACAAGTATACTGATTTCCACCTATAATTATAATTATCGAGTGAGCATTAAGTAGCATATTGTACAAAGATGCAGAGTGCTCAGCTTGCCAATCTTCATAATGCTTTCATCAAAACGTTTATACTTCTTATCTTTCTTGTTGCCTTTTTTTTTTTTTTACTTATATTTAAAAAGACACTCGTGCGTCTTTATAAGGATGGTGATGCGCTAATGTTTGGTTAAAAGGACAAGCATTTGAAGCTGTGAAAATTGGTCTAGATGCTAAAAAACATCGTTCTCATTGTGATTAATAAAAACTTAGCACTTTGCACAAGTCAATTTTGATTTACATCTCGCGCGTTTCAATAACGACGTGTATGTGTACCGCAGAGACATTTTGATAAAGAAAATAGAAATTTTCATCAAAGGTGCCTCTTTTTTCTTATAATATGAATCACTTTCCAAGCACAACAATACTTCACAAAGAAGACAGTACGAACATTCGTTCTAAAATGAGGAACTGTAAAGTTCTTGTTCCACAAGGACAGCAAATATACTTGAAAACACTCGCGTGAATTACGTTTCTTGAGAAAATACAATTTCTATTGTATTGGACAAAACTCGTTACTATATCATATGACCGACACCTGGAACGGACAACCTCCAAACATTTCGAATTATAAAGTAATTCTTTTATTATTTATGTAATAAATTTTATTGTATAGATTTAAGAAGTAGTTCATTATTAAAGAATCTTGGACTGACAACGAGATACGACGATATCTTGTTGCATTATAGATTTCTTTTGAAGTGTATTAGAGACATAATTTACACGCTCAAATATTCGTGGTACATCGAAAACCCTCGTCGACTCGAACAATTTTATACGATATACACGTTTCCGTTCCAGGTTTAATATTAAATCTTTCTTTTAACCTGTACTGATTTCTATTGGACAATTGGTTTAGGTTTTTTTCAAATAACATCAAGGCCAAACTCTGCTTACGTACGTAGATTGCACGATCCCATCTGTTAAGCAAAGTTCAATTCGCACACTTTGAGAGCGAGTATTTCTGATTATATTATCGTCGCAGTACCTTGCCCCGGTAGAAACAAGATTAATTTAAGTGAAATCCTCTTTCCCTAGTCGCAGCTAAGAGTCTTTCTTTAAGTTGTTCTTCGGTAGGATACTCCGGTAATTTTAAATAATGAACACAGGTGTTAACAGAGGGATAACCACCTGAACCAGCATCCACTTTTCGCACTACAGTCAATCTTGGATGTAAATTACATAATCCTCCAGGAGGTAAAGCTGAACATCCAGTGGCAAATTGTAAGAAAGCCTTTCTCTCTGGACCAGTCAGTGAAACTAGAACGTTGACGAATCTCTGGAACCCAGGACTGCAACACAACCAAAACCATTAATTATAATGTAACGGAAAATAGAACATTTACACTTTACCTTTCTCTCGTGTAACCCAATTTTGGCTCGGTATAATTGAGCAAATCTTCTCTGGTCCATTGTGGATTTTGTTCTCCGCAAAGCATAGCTCTTATTTCTTCTGGGCTGAAAGCATGAAGTTTCTCCATCGGGAAGACCTTCGAGAAGCCGGATTTGAATGATTCCAGTTGTCTAGAAATTCCTTTATCAAGACAATAATTAATTGTCCTTTCAGAATATTCTCTTGCATTCTCCATAGTAACTAAAGTCTCTGCACCCCCTTCCACCAACTCTAACTGATCGTGTCCAAAGATTTTAGAACTTGGAGAATATGTCATTGTTAGAGCCAAGTCTTCAATAGGCACTGACATTCCAGATGTGTGGGTAATATAAAGAGATGTGTCTTCGTCGGCGGAGCTACGACCGTCGGAGAACGTTCTGTCGCGTTTAGAAGTTGCAGTTTGTATTTCTTTCAAGAATTCACCTCTTATCGAGTCCACGATTACGAGATCGTCGATGTCCAATAAACCAGCATACCATGGGGAAGGTTCTAACGTCGAGTACGCTGCATCGGCTTCACCCTCCTCTGATATGAAACTACTCGACATACTGGATGACATACTTTCTTGCGTGACACCAGTAAGGCCAATTTTTTCATTTACATTATTCGTAATATCTCCGTGACACATTAATTTTAAGAAAGGACGGGACAACGGTAAGTCAACTAATCTATTATCTTGTAGAACTTTCGCCAAAAATACACCCAAGAACCAGAAGTATCGGACAGCACGATCACAAGCCGCGGAATCTTGCGGTAACGGAGCCGGGAATAATCCACTTGGTCGAGTCACATAATAACCTGCAGGTCGAACTTGTTCTCCGGAAACTCGAGACTGTTCCGTATCGGGTGATTCTTCATCGTCGCATAGCCACAAGCCTAGATCTTTGCGTTGCAACTCTGCAGCGACTAACGCGAAGAATTCCAATGTTGGTCCAAGACCAGTTCCTTCTTCACCGACAAACTGAACTTCTAATATACTCTTTCGACTTGCATGTACCTGTACACGAGATAAAACATACGATGAACGAGGTTAGGTTTTGGTTAGATCTTGATCTGTTTCATAACAAATGCTATGGAATTAATTTACCTTCAGTACTTGTTCCGCCCAGTCTAGTAATTTCTCTCCCCTAGGTACACTGACTCTTTCATGTTTAAGTCTGCCAACGCGAAATTCGTGACTGTCGTCGCGTCGCGGACTTAAACCAGGTGCTCTTTGTCGTTCGAGGACAGCATCTCTTAAAGTCTGAAGCCACACGATGGATCGCGATGCACCGAACGCGGTGCAACAAAAATATAACCGTCTGGTTTCGAATGGTAATAAAAACGGGCAACTCCTTGCCAATTCTTCGCACCAGTTCGGTAACGCTCCAGCTGCCAGTGCTAAAGGATCTTGAATTTGTTGTACTATCTTATTTGTGATTTTCTTCGAAGTAAAGTCGTCTGGATGAACCCAACACATTGACTCTTCGGACTCTTCGTAATCGATGTGTTTACAGTCGTCGCGAGTAGTACTTAATACGTAAACGTGTCGTAGGAGTTGCAATACATCTTCTACGGTACATACTGAAGAATTTTGAGCTGTATTGCGAGAATACAGTGTTACAATGGGAGTTGCCCTACCGGACGATTCCTCGTCCCTAGCTTCTTTATATATTATACTGTAATGACAATGGTACAAGTTGAATACATAATTATGAATCGTGTATTTTTAATTAAAGGATAAATGCATTACGTGTAAATTGGTTCCCATATTCTTCGTAGTTTTTCTTGCCGGCTGCCTAATTCTGTCAATTGCATTAATTCCTGTACAGCTTGAAAGATACTAGAGTGTGGTTCTGTGAGTGGTAATTCAACGTCTGGCACGCTTGGAAGTCCTGGGCCCTTCAATTTTAAAGCAAGCCTCGGCATAGGCAATGATCCTACGCGCGCGCTTGATTGAGTTTCACTGCCAGGTGACGGAACTTCCAAATCTGTGGTCTATAAATAAAATCTCATAATAAGGAAATAGTCTTCACAAATTCTAATATTTTCCAACGATTATACATGCCTGATTAATATTTGTTCGTCCAGGTCGTGGATCGAAAGCAGGAATCAACGCTGAGAAGTGACGTTTCAAAATAAACTCGTCATCCCAGGCGCGCCTCTTACTACTTTGAGGGGTTTCTTCTTCCATAAATGCGGCCAACAGGCTACGACTTACCATTACCTCTTCGTAATCAGCTTCGCAGCCATCTCCTTCTTCTTCATTCTCTTCATCATCTTCCTATAATTCAACGTTGAAAGTGATCACCTTGGTTCATCGTATAACGATTTATAAAATTTCTCGACCTACTTCTTGATCATTCTCATCGTTATCCTCTTCTTCTTCGAGAACGCCGTCGTCATCGTCTTCTAATTCGGTCAAAAGGGTTGGTCCGCCTCCTGCCCTACCTCCACCGACACTGGAACTTGCAACACCTCCACAAGATTCCAAAAAGTCCTCAAGACTCACCTGTAGCCATAACTGCTTATTACATTATATACAATCAAATTTTCCATATTGAACTCTATAATCCTAATTTTCAATTTCTAAAATATATTTCCATAAAACGTTTCCTATCGTGTACTAAATTTTACCTGTTCGCTGTCGCTACTTGTACTAGTTAATGACATTGTTAGTGCTTGTCCTAAGCCAGGTCCAGTTGTTGTTGTAACACCGCTACCAGCTACCTGACCGCTGCTGGTCAAGCTCGGATAACTTTGAGCTGTGCTCAGTAAGCCGCCAGGAAAATTAGAGTTGAGAGCGAGTCGAACTAAAGTCGATACGCAAGCAGATCCGCGTGAAATAGAACCAGTATTAGAATTGGAAGCAATGTGTTGTCCGCCTGTAGGTCCTAGAAGAGTTTCTTTTTATCAACAAATTACATAACTACAGAATCGATCCATTAAGAAACAGTACAGAAAACAGCAGAAAAATTTTTTTAAGATAGTTAATTCGATAAAACTGTAACATTAATATGCAAATACTGTTAATGGTAGAACATGGCCACTAACCCAATGTTCGTCTCCGAGACATTGCCGCGAAAGTTTCCAATAAACCAGTAGCACTTGTTGGTTCCAAAGCATTGTTAGCATCTGAACAAGCAAGGTTGGGGACAGACACAGACATGGGATTGGTAACAACAACAGGACACCCTCCTGTTGTATTTTGCGTCGATGAGCTAGCCTCTTTGTCCCGACTGCATTCTTTGGCAGCTAGTTCGGTGGAAACGCAATAAGTAAATAACAACAAAGAGGGAAAACAAATACATTATTTTAGGGGGAAAATAATAAACAGTTATTCAAGTTATAATTATTTTGTTCAAACAAAGAAAAAGGCGGAACAACAATAAGCTACCATCTTACCATCAGCAATTCCGGAGTGATGTCTTTGAACGGGTTTAATCCTCAATGAGTTCTCCTCCGATTCGCCCGATACGCTGATTCTTACAGGCACAAAATTAAGTAACTCTCCGCTTAAAAAGCTATTAGTGTTATTGCGTAATCTATCAGCTCCTTCTCTGACACGGTCCAGTGGTTCAGCAGCTTCCAAACCCATTAAACTTGCCCCTTGCTATAAGTGTGTTTAAACATATTATTAATATTCTACATAAACAAGATAATCTGATTAACAATTATACGAGTTTCACACCTTATTCCCTCGCACGGTAGCAAACAGTGGTTTTGAACTACTAGATGCACGATTGCTGTTACTATTGGCGGAACGGACAGTATTAAGGGCAAGACTCTCAACGATTGTTGCCAGATCACTTGTCACGGTAGTGTCAGGCCTTGGATGTAATACAACAGACAATTCACTCGTTGAATTTGCCCCACCTTCACCGGTTACAGCAACAACCGCCTCAGCGCGAGCAACCGACAACACACTTTCTGCTATCGATTCAGCAGCCTGCTGCTCGTCGTAAATGCAAAATTAAAACTACGTTAAACAAATGATTCTCTCTACTTCAACCAATAGCACATTGCAATGTGTTTACGTGAAAATTAATCAGAGGAGCACACTTACGATTACACACAAAACAATGAATATTCTAAATTGTACCTTAGCTGCCAGATTGTCCGCGCTTGCTGCTTGATCCGTCGACGCTACCGAGCTACGCATTGCGGTATCGGTGCAATCTGGTAAACTAGGAGTGCTACTAGACTTTCGTCCTGTTAAAACTCCACCGCCGCTTTTATTTTTCGTTTCGCTATCTGTATCAAGGCCGATACCTACTAATCTTAAATCGTACTTTAATTCTGCACCCATTCTGTAAGAATTGGAACCACCGTGATCCCATGTTACATCTATCCAACCGTTATGTAATTCCCCTGTTACTGTTCCTTCGCCTGGAACGACGAAGAAAAAATGTTTGTTAGTCCTAAACGCTAGTTGCATTTATAGTTTGACTAATTATTAAGATAGATCGTTGCACACATACCCGGCGGCACACCATCTTGATCTTTCCACTTCCAATCCAAGCCTCTAGCTACTCTAGCGCCAGCGACGAAATGACGAATTACTTGAGCCTTGATTAATCTCCGTTGTTTCCGTACTCCAGGCTCCGCTTCTCTAGCTGCACGTCCGAAGTCTTCGCAAACGCCGGTAACTTCGCCGTAAACTTCGAATCCGGACACGGACAAGTAATGCGTCTGCCCGGAAGCGTTCTTCCCAATTTGTTGTAACCGTAAATGGCGCCAGCCTTGCGTTTCGTCGATCGGCGGCTCTAACGTCCAAGTGGCTGTACTGCCAGGTTCATTCAACGACGAATCGTCCACGTGAGCGTACAGAGTAGTCCATCTTACACCGTCCTTCGATGCTTGAAACGTCCAATTTCGCAATGCACTCCTGCCATAGCCCCTGGCGTGTCTCAATGTGTATGCAGTGGGTATGATCCAAACGCCTAAATCGATTGAAAACCACGCGCGCTTGTCGTCGTTCGTGTGGCAATTTAACGCCGATGGATCGCGACTTAGAATGTCTTCGAGATGACCATACGGCAGATTTCCTCCGTCGCTCGATGTAACAACAACCAAACCGTACTGTCCGGGATTCACCCACTCGGAGCAAGTCTTTGCATTTGTACCGATCCAATACAACAAACCGTTCTCATCGAAGTCGTACTGATACTTGAAAGTAATTCTATTTACCTCTCTCAGTTTCTTCACGAATGTAAATGTCGATCTGTCGTGATCGTGCCACTGTTTCGCTACCATCTTTAATAAATAATTCTCTAGCTGCTGTATAGTGCTCAACGGTTCCATCTTTAAACTCCGGCCAGATCTATCTATTAGAGAGCTTTCGCCAGCTGCCTTCTCTAAACGGAAACGCAATCTTCTAGTTAAAATTTGTAAACCGTAACCGGAACCTGGCGTATCGTACAAATACACGGGTAATTTTTCAATAGACTCTAAGACTGAAACCAATTTATGGACTAGAATTTTAGCGGAGTTGCATTCTTTATTAATGTCCGCCGTGTGGAAACAATTTTTGAATACTGCTATTCGTTGCATTCTGAGCTTCGTGGCTCTCAACGTTGGTGGTTGTGGTCCTGGTGGAGCCGCTAATAGAGCAAGCAATGCTTGTACCAGACCACTAGAATGTAACTCATACGCAGACACTCTTCCTTCCTCGTTTAACAAAATTTTAAGTTCCTCTAGCGCGCTTTGTAATATATTACGCCATTCGCGGTTTCCAGACTGTTGCTTTTGACAAGCTTTTTCTATTTGACTAACAATTATTCCCAGTTTAGCGACCACTCCGCGCGGCTGTGCCTGAGCAGCCTTGAAATAACGTTCATAAATATCCTGAGCTTGTACTTTAACTTTCTGTTTAATGGCCTCGATCTTAGATCTTAATCTCTTGCCTCTTTTGCCAGCCCAACCTGCTGCAAATTCTGGACCTAGAAACCAACAATAACATGACGTTTTTACGGATCGATTTTACTGCATAATAATGAAAAATTCATTAATTAAAAACTGCACGCTTGCATACCCAAACTTGTTTCTGCCGTAAAGGAATGCTTTGTACCTCGATTCGATTCAAAAATAAAACCTGGCAAATCTTCTCTTAAAATAGTTGCTTGTTGCAAACCGTCGCTATTATGTATACACAATTCGCTTTCCTTTCTGCTGGATAATGCCCAATTTCCTACGACCAGTCGAGTCGTACCGGGACGCGACAGCACAGGCTGACTCGCCGAATTTGGTTTTACTTGGTTACGCGCTCTTTGCAGTTTTTCCAAAAATTCACCACGATTCTCTGCAATATACATATGTCTAGTAACTCATACAGTTTGGATAACTACGAGCCGTGTGAAGATTTTTAATGAACCGAATAATATTGTGACAAGAGAACTGTTTTGGGGTCATGCAGAAATAAAGGAGTACTCATGCAATCAATGGTGTACACCAAAGGGTGAAGGATAGCGTGCGCATCTAGGAGAGTTGAACATGTTATGTACCTACCTTCGGTGGCAACGGACTCTGTATTCCTCCCTTTTCCTGTAGGCAGTTAGTAAAACCAGTTATTTACTAAACTATTCCCCTCGCGGAAGTTAATCACAAATGAAAAAGATATAACATAAAAAGTGATCCGAAAAGGGCCAATTTATCTGGCACAAAGGGTGTGAGGAAGTGAACGGAATACTTCGACAAGAAAGAAAGTGGCAATATGGATGATACGTAGGTGATGAATCTCGCGTTGATATTGTAGAAAGAGAAAAACGCACCTGAGGTGTCGGTTCCGCCTTCGGGGCTTCCGCTGGAGTACATTGTTGCTAATTTCCCGTCGAGTATGAACCTGAACCATCCGTTACTTCCATTCGACAATTCTAAAGCTGCTGCATCGGACCAAACGTACAAGCAATCGCGTCCTCTGCAGATGCACCAATCTCTCCAATGATAAGCTCTTCCGACCAAAAGCTCTTTCGCATCTTCCATTCTTTGCTCTTCTCCGGACTGACTCGTTTCGATTTCCGGTTCCGGCGTGATCTCTTGCGATCCAGCTAATGCGGCCACTTTCGAAAAGACTCCCAGACGTGCAAAATGTTCTAGAAATTCATCTTTGCCTTTTATCATCAAATCTTGTATCATTTGTAAAACCACTAAGTGTCCGTCTTCATCCTCCTATCGAGATTAAAATGAAAAAAAAAAAAAATGTTTTCAGATACAGATCCCCCAATGATACAATTAGTATCAGAATCCAGTTATGTTAAACAAATATTTCTGGTCCTGCTTGTTCGATTTAATATGAAATAAGTACTACATAAGTGTCTAGATTGCTTATGGTTGTTTTGATAAGACGTACGGTACATGAATAATAACAGCACAAATTTAATTGTGAGCAAAACAATTACGCGACTGATCGAAATCACAAGCAAATGCCCATTAATCCTATCAGCAGCAGGCAGACAGTCGACAGAAGTGGACAACCAGCTTCGTGTCTAATCTTACAGTCTTTACGCCCGTTTGTAAAACAATTTCGCTCGCAATTCAACGAGAAGCTTATTTACAATTATCATTTGACTTTTGGTATTAAAAAACTATTGTATCCCAACTGTCCTCTTATGTCAAGTTCTGTGCTAAAGAATAAACTGCACGTTGGGCTTTGTACGTATTAATGCATATAGTTAAAATAGTTTCTCCACTACATATTGTGGATATTTTTATGATATTGTAAAATATATTTGACATCATAAAAGACATTTTGTCAGAACAGGAGTAAGACATGCTTATGTTTGTTAGATCTCACGCTTTTTTTTTATAAATTATATAATAAATGCATTAATGTTAATAATAAATGAAATCTTTGCGTAGTTATTAATGGAATCAGTAAAAAAAATCTGGGATTCACGAATAGCATGTAAGGGACACAAGGGGTCTTCCAACTAGCGACTGGCAAATATACAACAGACGTTACCGTCTTATCAACAATGTAGTTCAGGGAACTGGAAGACTTGCGCGACGAGAGGCAACGCAATTTTTGGCCAATTAACGGCTTGAGAGGCGGAGGTGGTGGTGATGGTGTTTTTAACTCAAGCTCCTGTGAACAATCTTAACTAAATCACTAGTATTGTCTGTTTGGCTGCCTGCCTGCCTGCATGAATACTAAAGATTCTAAAACACATTAACTAAGATTGTAATAATATTAGCTTGTATTTATTTTCATAGAACCTAATGAAATGTATATAAAAGTAACTCGTTATAGTACAGCATAGTATATTTTAATCTTACCTCGTTATCCAGCACATTGGCAATCACTTCCACGAGCATAGCTCCACAACCTCCTGTTCTATCAGAACCACATGTTTCAACAAGTAATTCTGGTTGAATATAGTGCACCATCTTTCTAATTAAACTTAAACTGGCTTTCCTAACACTGGGCAACATAGACGATTGAAATGTCGCACAAAATACCGGCAAGAGCCGTTTTAAATATACTGGTGCCATTTCGGGATCACCTTTTGGTTCCGTGAATTCTGTTTCCGTTTCTGGCTTTCTGTGTTCTTGATTCGGTAACATCCATTCTCCAGGGGATTGCAATATAGCTGCCACTTCTCTGTGCCCTTCGTCAACGCGTTCTCTGGCTTTATCTAATGGTGTTTTCCCATCTTCATCGCGTAAATCAGGATTCGCCCCGTACTTAAGCAATACTTTAGCAATAGCTGGTCTCCCAAAGCAAGCAGCATAATGCAAACTAGACGACCTTTGACCTTTATTAACATCTGCTCCCCTGTAGCATAAAAATTCAACCATCTCCTGAGTTCCAAAAGCGGATGCCCAGTTGAGCAACGTTTGCCCAACATCGTCCATAAAATTTACTTCGATGCCTCCAGAATCTATAGCTTCTATTAGCGCGTCTGTATCTTTTGATCGAATACAGTCGATTAATTGTCTATGAGACTTTTCTCCGGCACTGTCCATACGCCTGAATCGTGGTAACAAAGGGCCTGGTTGACCTCCCGTTGTATTACGACCTAACGCCGACCTGCCTTCGAATAGCAAAACCAATAATAAATCGACTAATCTCATAGAATCGAGAGCGCATCGCTCGTCTCCTTTTAAAGCTTTTTCGATCGCATCTGGTAATTCGGAACGTAGGAGGTCGTGAGTTATAGAAGGTGATCCTCTACAAAGTGTTGACAAAAGACTAATTATAGTAGAAACAGAAGCACAAGAATTTGCTTCTGGAGCAGGAATCGTCGATGCGGTACTAGAAGGGGGAGGTGTTTTTGGATTTCCAGAAGTAACTGCTATAGATGTGCCAGGCCCTGCGGCATTGGATAGCCTGCAAGAAGATGTTACATATGCAATGCTGCAAGTGATTTGCGAGAAATTGTGAACATAAATAGATACCTATGTAAGAGTTCGGAAACTAATCCATTGCATGCTAATGGAGCCGGATCTGTATTTCTCCGTGAATATCTATCAGCTAACGATGCAAAACAACGAAGCGCTCCATCAGCTACATGTGCATCTTCGTGTCTAAGTAACGTCGATAAAGCTTCAACGCAATCCGGTAATGATTTATCTTGAGGTTCCACTTTTCCGCATAAACGGGTAACTACAGCCATCGCAGAATGTAATGTGTCCCGGTGGACACGAGCTCCATGCTCTCGAATAAAGCACAAGGCACATGGAAGGCCACCAGCTTCGAATACAGCACCAGCTTCTCTTGCACAAACAAGTTCTAATACCTATATTGATGATATATATTAGTACAATCTAACATCATAGTTGACAACAGTCAAACGACTGAATACCTTTATGCACTGTTCAGCTAAATCCCGACTAGTTCTGGAACCTAATCCAGCTCCAGATAGGCGACTGCAAATAGCTTTTACAGCACCTTCCATAGCTACTACTCTGCGAGTACATTCTGCAGAAACATCCAAATAATATGTAATAGCCCGAGCAGTTACTTCTAAAACGCTATCCGGTGCAAGTTCATCCAAAAAGATTCTACATAATGCAGGAAGAAATGTGCGTGGAGGACAGCTAGAATGCAAATAACAGATTTTATTATTAGAACGATGTACCCATAATAAATTATTTCCAACATTTATTGCATACCATTCAAAGCATCGATCAACATTATCAGACATAAGCAGCAACATGCACAATTGCTCTAGAGCAATTAGCTGCATGTCTCTTTCATCTCCTTGGCCCATACTAAGCCATTCCAATAAAGTTTCAGGATCAACATCAGTCATCTGAATTTAAATTTCAAATGATAATTATTATTATGTACCATTAAATGTATAAACTAGATTTAATCTCTTTTCATTAATAAAATTTACCTTGTAAGCTTAATAGCACCAATTGAACGTATTTCAAACTGACAATCTGAAAATAAAACAGAGATGATAAAGTTAAAAGTCCAATATCCATAAAGTTACATTGAATTAACATGTATGCTAGATGATAAAGATAATATCAAAAGTAAGTTGTGTTGCTATGTTGTATGCTAGATGATAAAGATAATATCAAAAGTAAGTTGTGTTTGGTTCATGGGAAGACCAATTAAGAACACAAAGGCAACAAAAATAAATGCACAAGACTCCTGTGATATGTCTATATTAAGAATTACATTGACAGTAGTATTCTCCCTCCCAAGCTCCTTTTTGTCTAACGAAACACACAATGTCTAGAAAAATCCGAGCATGTAAATAATTCGTGATAAAGCGTAATCACGTTCGCGTATCGTGAATCGCAGAACGTTTACGAATACAATGACGACAGACACGTGGTCACATATCCGATATTAAAATCGTGAATTGTCGTTAAAGTACAAAGAAAGGTATTTGTCATGACGACGGCTGTGAGCGTGACACTATCGTAATAACACCATGTAACCTTCAGGGAATTCAAAGGAGTAGCTGTTGCCGTGCAGGTGCATATCGCACATTCGATATGCATAAAAAATAATTACATATAGTTTGGTAGATACGATCTGCTTACACGGGGAAACGTACCGTTGTGCACAGTATTCCATTATTCGGAAGGGGTCAGGTCGCCATCCTTCCAAAGACGTGTCGTTTTCCACTTCGAAAAACAACGTAACCGTGTCGTCGTACTTGGTCCGTCAGCGACACAAAAATCTGATCGGACCAACGGACTGACAAAGCACTCCTCCGAACGAAAAGATCTCACTTTGCCCTAGTGTCGTCGTATATATTTCGCCATTTACGCGACGTTTAGAGTATAGTTCGGTACCACACTCGCAACTCTCTTGAAAGTCGTATTTTCATATGTGCGCACGTTGATGAGACGATGCTAGGCAGATTTTCATGGAATCTCACGCTATTACGATTACACACATATATATATACCTATGCAAAGGTCCAATAATTCGTTCCGTTTGAGGGGAATACAGAACGTCAAACGCATTCTCTTCTCTTTTAGATAGGCTTCTATTTGTCTCGTGGCTGAAACACTAGATGGCATTATTTACGTTTTATATTATTTATTACGTACATATGTATCATTGGATTTTGATAGATTCGTACGTGTCGTTTAAACAACGCACAAAATATTATTCACATGAATCTGAATTCGTTCTCATAAACGGCACGATACATTTCATAAAAATTTGTTCGTTAAATTGATAACCTATTACGACGTTAAATTATGGTGATGTTGTTAACGGTTCTGATTTCGTAGCACTCATTGTATTTAAACTACACGCATTAAAATTCATATTCAAAACACAATGATACATGTTTAATAAATGGTTTAATCATTAGATTGATAATCTATTTACAAGAACAGTGGCAGCATGGCAGTAAAATGGTACAGCCAATTAGCGATGAACCACGATGAATGCACCGAGTTATACCGAACTAATCCTGAAATTGAATTTTTAGTAAAGGTTGCATCCTCAATGATACAAGACACGATGCAGAAAAATAGTTAGAATTTATCACGCCTAGATGGCGATTTAGATTCTTTAGTATCTTGCTAGTGAATTTAATATTTTCATTAATAAAATAATTTAAAGAACTCTGATTTTATTAATTCAACGTAAAACACTTTCCAAACCATATTTTCCGTAGAGCAGTTTTAATGTTGCGACTTCGTTAACGAAATTTAGATTAATTATCAGGGAACCAAAAATTACAATTGATAGTAATTTCCCACAAGTTATCAATCGATGATTTCGTATACAGTGTCCTAGATGTTAATGGTCAAAATTTTGTCAGCATATTCTTCGAATTCGATTATTAAAATTCAAAAAATATACCGACAAATAAAAACTTATGGACACGTGTGCGCAGTAATTTAGATTGCACCTGTAAAGGGCAGTTTTATTTTTCTTTCTGTAACCATACTTTATCGATTTATTTGAATTTCTTTTTCACGTGGAATATATTAAAATTAATAATTAGCAAATAGTAAATCTGTCATTTGTCTTTTTTTAAAAAGTTTATAGTACAAAATAAAAGATACATCTATTTGTATGTTTTAATTTTTACACCTTATCTTTATAATATTAACATTTAAATATTTGTAACGTTATTTTAGTATCATTTGATGATGAAACGTACAGAAACAGGACGTATCAATAGAAGACATTTTTGCAAAGACCGAGTTATCTTTTTTCGTAGAAATGTTTCAACGAATTTTCTTTTTACGCTTCATTGCTAAAACATTATAAAATTTTTTTAGATGATACCTATTCAGATGTCATAGACATAAATTTAAAAAAATTTAAACAGATTTATGAATGTTAAAATTCCGTTTTATAACCCTCTGTTTTTTTTCTGCTTACCTTTTCTTTCTTCCACGACCTCATTCCTCTTTTCTTTGAGATCAGTGGGTAAATTCTCTAACATGCTTTCAATAAAATTATCAAGAACTATTGACCTATTCATTGATGCCACTGGTGCTCTACACACAGGACATTCTTTTCGTTTTTTGATCCACGTTTTTATACAATGTTGACAGAATGTATGCATACAACTTAGTGTTGTTGCTTCCACAAATAATTCTGAACATACGCTGCACGTTAATTGTTCATTCATTATATCGCTAACTTTATCAAGTACATTTTCTCTTTCTTTGTTATCTATACTAAGCTGAGTAGGCAAAGTTAAATCTATAGTATCAAAGATATGATATTCTGAAGGATTGTTTACAAATTCTAAAAGTATACAACTATCATTAACATTTTCAGAAGGTCCTGCAACTGTAAATAAAATATTAATTAATTTGTTACATATCACCTACATAATTAATGCTCTAATTGTGAATATAGCAAATTATACCATTATTCTGTACTGTTTCTGCTTTAGCTTCCTGTTCTTTTAAAGTTTTTTCAATTTCTTTTAGTTTCTCCTCCAAGACTGTTTTTTCATTTAATAACTGAGTTTGTATATTTTTCTCTTCTTTAACTCTGTTTTCCATAACACTCTTCCATTCAGCCTGTTGTTCTTCCCTCCATTTTTCCATCTGCTCTTTCATTTTAATTTCTAATGTTTCTTTTTCTTGTTTACTAACGTTCAATGCTTCCTGCCATTTTTGCTTTTCATCATTTAATCGTTTTTCAAATTGTACTCTTTCGTTTTCTAATTTCTCTAACAGTTCGGCATATATCACTTGCAAATGCTGCTCTTGAACATTACCACTTTCTATTTTGCTTTCTAATATTATAATTTGTTTCTTCAAATCTTCAGTGTTCTCCTTTGTAGCATTTTGCTGACTTAAAAGGTGCTCTAATTGCTGTTTCAATTCATCTTGTTCCTTTTGTTTTGTCTCTAATTTGTCTTTTAAAACTCTTTTCTGACATTCCTGATTTTTTGAAAACGTCTCTTGCTCTATGAAAACATTGTCCATTATCTGTTCTTCCAACTTAGGTCTTTTACTTCTATGTTCTTCTTTGATAACAAGAGTAAACATATACCTAAATTGGTTGCTTGTACTAAACTGAACAATGTCCCCATCATAGATCCTTTGACTCGATCCAAAAATCAGAGGAGTATCGTTCAGAAACGTAGTAGAAGAACTTATGTCCTTAATGGTCCATTCTTCGTTTCCTTCACACCTAAACATACACTGCTTTCTAGATATCATTGTGTCTAAAATAATTTCGTCGTTGTCCCTCGCACGACCAATTTTAAACTATTGAAAAATTCAAAAGTCCATGTTAGAAACATGTCAAACAAACGCCAAGAAACATTTTCGGAAAAGACGGGTAACCAATATTCATTAATACCTCATTTTTATCAATGTCAATGTCATTAGGTGCACATCCACTTTTGTCAATCCTTACTAAAATGGGTTCAAGAGGTTTTGCATCGGAATCGTCTAATATTAATCTTTTTTCCACTTTTGAACCCTCCATTACGCAAATTGACACTTTAGTAAACAGGACTGAAAATAATCATCGAATAACCTATTCTTTTCCTTGGTTGTATTGGCTTCTTTATGAAGTGCCATAAGAACGCATGTCAGTAATAAAATAACTTTACAATACACGGAAATAAGTACAACCTTTGACAAAATGTAGTCCCCGTCAAATGGGAACTGGAAAACAAATCGCGAATCAAACATTTACGAACGACATCTCGTGGCAAGCCTACGATAACAGATGACAATTCTAATTAAAAATTATACAGTTCAATGCAAGAACATCTATGCTTTTTTGTGCAAAATGCATAATTAAATTTCTCATTGTTTCCTACATATTTCCTCCAAATCTCATTGCATTATCTTTCAAATTGACGAAGATATGGCAAATAATTTAAGTCAATGTTAATCGTTTTATGACAATTGGTTATTTCTATTGAAAAAGCTAGAAAAATAAAATCTTCAAACTCTATTATTTCGAGAACTAAGCTCAGTATAAAAAACAGTTCTTTCTATAATTGAAACAGAACCGAAAAATAACTCTTATTTACGACTGAAGAATGAGAATTGATTTTCTTAAAGCGTTTGAATGTAAATAATCATCGAATGATGGAACCGCCAGAGGATTTATCTTAATTCAGATAATATTTATTTGATAGGTATATAATACATTGAATTTGCCAGCACATGTGAGAGAGAGAACACACTTCTCGGCGAATAATACTTGCTTTTTTTCTTATATTCGACACCTTCCAATTATTCCTATACTACTGCTACCGAACATACTTTTCCAGTTGTCCGTGGAACGGAGTTTCATTTTCAATTAATCGACTGTTTATTCAGTGACTGACTATCCTTCGATGCAGCAGTCGGTTAACAAGTGGTACCTGAAATACCATTAGCATCTGTAGATCTGATGTTGTACGTAAAACGGGGGGTTACAGATAAATTGCATCGATTTCATCAGCGTTTGGCAATAAAACGTATGTAACTTTAAGAATATTATCAGCTTCCTCTTTCCATGTCGATAATGTATCATGAATGATAATACATCGTCGTGATTAGTGTCGAAATAAAAATTCAACGTTACGAAAAAATCATTGTTTCAATGTAAAATACGTTACGTTCGATAGACGGGTAAAGGGGCAGGAAAAGTAATCGATTTCAATGCGACGAACCACGATAATCGTATTGTTCGGTAAGCTGCATATCAACGACGAATTAGTGTTCTTCGTAAGCGCAGTGAGTGGCTCATCGACGTTTCTCTTTTCTCGAGGACAGGATCATCGATTTGACTGACGGTCGTTGTCTATTTACAATGGTTGCGATAAAGACTAATTAATTTATAAACATCGTTGTTGTTTATGTACAGATGTAATATAAACGCATTATACCTTATAAAACGGACATGTGTAAAAGTGTCGCGAATCAAACAAACAGTGTGAGACCCGATTCGTTTCGGTTCAGAGAAATACACGTGGGACTCGTAAATCGCTGGTAGCCCGTAAACATCCATCATCGAAACCGACGACAGATTATCAAACGGAATAAACCGAACTTTTACGCGCATTTTTTCTATCCTAAAGGACAAAGTAATTTTCGTTTCGTGCACAGCAGAATCGAATCCATGCTGTCTGATTTCATTCGTTTCGTATGCTTCATTCGAAAAAAGTGAACGAAACTCCCTTAGTACCTAAGATCGCAAAAAATATACTCTGCGGTTATAAAATACGTATATTTAAAACGATATCGGTACAACATACGGTTAGCGAAGCAAAGGACCGTCCGTTCCGCGCGATCTCTCGTATATAATAATGAACTTCTGGATTCGAGAAAACGCCGAGTCGATGCAAAGATAGAAGAAGTCAGCTCAGCAATCGTGGTTAACGCAACAGTCATAATTTGAAAACCCTGCCACACCGTAAAAATCATCCCTAATCTACGTGCTTGAACAAACACTAACTTCTTTATCCTCGCGTTGATCTCGCTGTTGATCCACAATCGTTTCGAAACGATATCGAAAACGTACGTCTAGTCGGCGGAAAAGATACACGTAGCGAACTCCTTAGGGCATGCTCAAGCTATCGTATTTAAGCTCAAGTTAATTCGTAAGGACACGCACGGTCGATCAGTTATAGTTTTATCGAACCCTCTCGTTTGGATCCTCGACACGAGACACACATTGAACTCACGATGACGCGCTTAGCATTTTGCAAATGATGTAAAACATCGCATATTTTTGCGCGATTTAAATAGTAAGGGGACATTTTTCGTACCCGCCCCCGTGTCTCGTTATTCGTCTATAATTAAATTTCGATACTTCGAATGAACCTTTCGTCGTCACAATTATCCAGATATGTTTGTTCATAAAATTCACGTTAGGCACACACTTTACAATGTCAAAGGGGTACTACGCACGAGGAAGCTGTGTTCAATTGCCATAAATGGTCGTCGTTACTACAGAGATTGTAACGTAGTTAAATGGGTTTCAAAGATGCAATATCGAAAAATTCTATCGATGGAACGATTGGTGTCCAATAAGAAAAAGAAAAGTATAATATCGTTTTCAATATTGTTTGCTGCGCTGCGGTCACCTGCACTCAATGTACGTCCAGCCTAATTTCTGCTATCCAAACATGCTTCCGTTAGTTTGCGCGCGTTACTTAATTTACGAGTTGGTACAGTGTCCTCCACCGGCTATACGCTTCCCTGTCTCTTCGCGATCATACGTACAAGTTACAGGTACAGAGAGGTAATAGAAAAAATGCGCGTACAACGTTTGAAAGAACCGCGAGAAAACGTTCGTTTCCGCGCGGAGGATATTCGACGTCGTTTATCCTTGGAAATAGTCGGGGCAATTGCCGCCGGACACCGTGGCGATTACACGGATGAACTTGTTGTTACGATCGAATCGCGTAGCCGTTCGCGATCGAAGCAATATCGCGCGACAAGCTAAGGGGCGGCCGGAACGTTACTTGATCGGTTTACCCCAGGCGAACTGTATCGGCAACGGAGGAATATCGCTGCTGGTGGACAACTCGTCCTCGCTGCTCGTGGCGGACGCCTCCTCGGAGATCATCGCCTCGCCGCCGGCCTCCTGCGGTCTCTGACCGGCGCCGCAATCTTCGGCGGCCGCCGCAGCTGCCGCGGCGGCGGCAACAGCGACGGCCACCGCGGAATTTGTAGTGGACGAAGAGTTTGTAGCTGCCGAGGAAGAGGAGGAGGACGACGAGGAGGTGGACGAGGACGAAGAAGACGGATCGCTCCGTGGTCTTCGTCGAGCGATCGGCGTGGAGTTGCACGTCGGCGACCACGGGGACTCCTCTACACGGGCGGAATCCGTAACGGAGATACTTTTCGATCTAGCCCTCATGTCCACGGAAGGCCTACGGGAAGTCAATCTAAGCGATCCCTGCCGCGACACGGACGTCGCGGCCTCGGGTCTGGCCATTTTCGGCGGCGTCGCCGTCGGCGATCCATCCGCCGATCCTTTCGAGAACTCGTCGTCGATCTCCAACGTCCACGAGACCGAGTCACCTTTCTCCACCATAAACTTCACCATGGATGACGATTGTGGACCGTTCTTGTCCGCTGAAAGACTGTGCTCGACGTGCTCCGGGCCAAGGGACCGCGACAGCCTAGGCGTCAAGTTCGCAAGAACGGTCACCACTTCGTTTTTTTGACGCAATCGCCATTGCAGCTCCTCGTTTCGTTGCGCCAGCCGCTTGTTCTGCTTCGAGACCTGATGAATCGACTCGTGCAGCACCTCGTTGTCGTGCGATAGCTGCCTCTCGAAAGCCTCTTTGCACTGAAGCTGCGCCTTCAAGTCCTCGCATCTGGCCTCGAGAGTGTCCGCGCGCTGCTGCAAAGCCTCTTTGTCCTCGATCTCTCGCCTGATGTTGTCCAATTCCGATCTCAGTGTGGCGTTCTCCTGGCTTCTCAGCTCCAGCACCGATCGCAATGACTCGACCTCCGCGGTGAGCGCGGCCCCTTGATCGTGCACCACCGAACTTCTCTTGAACTCGGCCTCCTTTCGCGACAATTCCGCCTCCTGTTCCGAGCGCAGCTTTACCATCGCGGCTCGGTGTTCCTTCGCGGCCTCGTTCAAGGAGTCGCGTAGCCTCAACTCGCACCTGCGCCTCTCCTCCTGCAGCGCAGTCTCTAAGGTAGCAACTTGCTCCGCATGACGTGCCTCCACTGGTGGAAAATAATTAATTTAGTGCAAACGTAGCAGAATTTTCTTTTTATTTTGACTCTTTGATTTGAGTTACTATCTGGGCCCGCATCGACCCGAATCTGAATGTCGTTATTTCTGTTCAAGACGAGTGTAGGTATTTTATTAACGTAAAGTATAAAATTATGATTCGGTATGCCTGGTTTAAAGAAACCAAGATTTCATTTTCAATATGAATTTGGTTATTACGTACAATGGCGATGGCCTCATTGTTTTCAACAGCTTTGAAGTATGTCACAGGGGTTACGTCGCTCCGATTATCATGGAGTAAAAAATATTTGTCGTCCCGGTCGTAAAAACTATTAGTTGAACACACAAGATAAGGGTGGAATTTGATGCAAAGGCAAGCAGCGGCGTATCATTAAACGAAACGTTAATGATAGTCGCGAAGGCACAAGATTTTATATCCTTAATACTACGTTTCCGTCGTCGTATCTTTACGACGACTGCTGGCATAAAAAGAATGCACGAGCAAGGTTCGTGTAAATTCCGAAGGTGCTAAACACCATAATACCATAACGTGACATTTAGGGACGTTGTAAGTGTGCATATTGTCGTTACGCGAAACGCATACATGTTCAAGCTCGATTGCAGCAAGCGTAAATGTGGTTTCAGTGCTTACCTTTACAAATACCTTTAAATCATCAGCATTGAAAAATTGCTTGCTAGACCATTTATAAAAATAATGAACCGGTTTCAAGTTCGAGTCTTGAGAAATACCAAAAATAACATCGTGTTTATAAGGTAAATAATTACACGCTTTACGTGGAGTGGAATCTGGTACTTAAATAATTACGTAGTCATGGTAGAAAGTAATCGTGAAAGCCAAATAAACATAATTTTTTTTTTTAGAAAAAGTATTACGATTAACGGAATCAAATCTTTTAAATCGACGTGCATCGCTATCTCGATAATGATTTGAAAATCATTGCTCGAGTTCGGTGATAGGGGACTAAAAATATGCAGCTAGCATAATGGATAGAAACGTGACGATCTGAGTAAACGCAAGTGTCGTTAAGACGCATATAAGTGGGAAGATTATTATTCATATAGCTCTATAAAGCTCTGATCTTAAGTAGAATATTACTCCACATCGTAATGGATGAAAGAAGAATGGTTATACTTATACAGGGTAACATCTTTCTGAATATGAGAATGGGGTGTATTAACATATGGTTGGGAACTCTTTAATACAGTTTTAATATATCCATCTCGCTTTTTCCTCTTCTAATCATTCTATTACAAAAGCCACGCTACCCTGCACGCGTGACTTTCACTGCTGGATCCCAAATCTTAGGAAAGTTAACGGTGCATTGCTCCATGGCTTTCCAACAATTATATTTTGAAACCCACAGCGAACGATAAATATTTTTTGTACCAGAAGATTGAGCGACCAACCCTCTCGATATACCTCAAGGCCGTCGAGACCGTCGCGATCTTCGGTAACGCGCATAATTGCCAAACATTTTTCTACCCGGATGATTGACGTAGACGGGACAGATTGTAAAACGGAAGAAAAACAAAGTCGCGGGGCGAGAGACGGGAGTGAACGGATTAAGTCCGTCGAACGTGCCAACCTATAATTAACCTCGATGAACGTTACGTGGCCACTAAATCGAGCGTTTGTGAAGTTGGAGCGCGCGCGTTCTCGCTTTTGAAAATTTTATGCCCGAATTATTCAACGCGACCCGGGCTGCGCGTGGGCACCGAACGCCTCGCGGATTTTAATTAACAATTGCTCCACTTGAAACCTTCGTCGTTCGTCACCGACATCGAGACCATTATGCTCGTTACAGAGGTAATATCATTATCGTACGATACGTGGCTGGAAGCTGGAGACACGCGTCGCGTGCAACGCATACATGAAACAAAACGAAACGGTAGTCGTTACAATATCGTGATTCGAATACAATGCTACATAAAAAAACAAACAAACAAACGATTGGCGCCGCAATGTGCGCGCAAATTACATCACCGTAATTTTCACCGTAACGAGCCAGGAGTCGGAAAGAAACGCAAATAAAACTCTTGGCAAGACTCACGATCTTCGCGAAGCTGGTCCAAGGCTCTTCGATGACTCTCCCTCTCCGACTCGAGCCTCTCTTCAATGCCGAGGTTTCTAGATCTCAGCTCCTCGATCTCCGAGCACGACGACATCCATTCCGTCTTCATGTTCTCGAAATCTTTTTTTAACTTTGGAGTAGAAAAGGCGTCCAACTGATCAAAACAGAGGAGTGTTAGTAAAGTTATCGGGGGTGGATCGAACAGTAATGACAGAAGTTTTGTAACTGCAAACGTTGCTCTTATTGATAAAGCAAGATCGAAGGGAACGTACCTGAAAGGCCAGATATTTGACGGTGATGGAAAGGGCCTGTATGACTTGTTCCGCCCTTTTCACGTGAATCGCCTCATAGGGTATGTCCGTTTGTGCGGCCTGGTCCCGCGTCTCCAAGGACGCCCTTGTCACTACATAGTTATTACTGTGCTCCTTGGTTTCACGATCTGCAACCAACGTCACCGGGCCCATCACCATTAGGATTCTTCGAACCGCGAGTGAAATTCGTTATTTCCACCGTGTGGTCGGCTCATTTATCGTTCTAGCTGTTTTGTTTCTCCATCGTTCATCGAGTGACGGCCGCTGTTATCGCGTGGAACAGTGGTCCCGTCCACGGTCGTTCCGCGACGACGAACGGGTCATCGTGACGAGAGTCGACGGACACCAGAACCGCTCTAACGCACCGTGAAATCGACTATCGCCAGTCATGTTACGCGACAGATTTAGGTGTATCGAAGAAAGTCGCGCGGAAAACTCGTTCGACGAGAGAAAACCGCCGAGAGATCCCCGGTCTTGGAAAGTCGGGCTACCTGTTTTTCAGGATCTTTCGTACCGGGGCAACCGGTGAAAACGCGATCGACAAAGTCGCTGGACGCGGAAAATTCGCATACGCGACACGCGCGCGTTAAAACGTAACGTCGATTATTTGGCCTGACTGCGTCACTGGCTGGTTCATCCTCCCATTATTACCGCGACGACGTACGTGAAAGCACGCGAGATTCTCGAGCCTGATCCTTTATCAGGGGCTTGGAGAAAAAGAAAAGAACGATAAAGCAACTCGAGTCGTCGAATCGATGAACTTTATTTGGGCGTTCAAGAGCACCGAGGGTCCCAGTCAATGAAGACACTCTGGGTTAAGGTCAGGCGTACGATGGTCCTAGAAGACGAAGGGAATTCGAGGACCGCCTTTTAACTGGTACATCGACGTCTCGTCCGGGGAATTTCCCGAGCAGCCACGCGATACTCGCGTATTTATCACTTCCACTGTTGTTTATAATTGGACGGCGGATCTACACGTTACACCGCCGGCGAACGACTGTTCCGGCAACGAAACGAACTCCCTCGCGCATCGAATATGTTTCGAGGCGATTATTCGGATCGCGATCTTACACTGTTCTGTTCTGTTTGCTCGGATAAATGTAACGGAATGTTGATTCTTTCGCGTCGCGTAATTGCTCCGTTGATCGTTTTTTCTTTTTTTTTTTTTTCTTTTTTTTTTTTTTTTTGATCTCCCCTATTAGATTCGCGTTAGCGCGTACGAGAGCTGGAAGAAGAGCGGGCGCATTCGAATCGTTCGATCACGACGATCGAACGATAAACGGCGAAGCAGATGTAATCGGAATCGTCATTTGTAACGATTTGCTGGCCAAGTCCGCACTTCGACTGAATTAGCACGAGCCACAGGCTGCCTCGCGGAGCGATATATCCCTCCTTCCTCCTTCTCGGCCACTCCTACCACCACCTTGAAATCGAGGTGCAACCTCGAGGAAGACGAAGACGATGGACACGCGGAAAACCGTGTCCGACCGGACACGCGCTCTACGCGCTTCATACACACGGCTCCGATATGACCCACAATGCCCGCATACGTTTCCATAATTGCATTAATATACCTAATTTTTTTTTTTTTCCACCTGCCCGTGAAAGTCTCCGATCAACGTTTCCACGGTGCAGAAAAACAGCGATTCCATTATTTCAACAGAATTAACACGCGGGAACCCATTCGAGTATGCCGCGCGGGGTACGCCTGTTACTTTATTTATCGTTCCGCCTGCCGATTTCATGGGTCGTAAATATGAGAAGTACTTTAAAGACCCGCGGTTCGTTTCAACGGAATCGGTCATTCCGCTAATAGAAAAAGGAAAGGATAACGAAGATAATGACGGCCGCTCGAGCGAGCACGATCGCGACGAGTTATTTCAAGGAGCCCGTGCTCCGAATAAATTCGCTTTTCCATTTGGAATTGGTCAACCCTAGATGGTAGACGGTTCGCCGTATACGTACGAGACAATACGTGTCCAAGGTATAGTAATTCGAGGATAATGATCCGTGTGATCGACGATCGGATAACGCTCTTCCGCCAGGACCTTAGAGGACAATTTGCGATTCCAGTCGTCGATATCTGAGTTTCGTCACATTCGTAACGCGTCCGTAATTAGAAACACCTCGACAATCGAGATGCTCCTTTCAATTTTCAAGCTTGAAATTATTTTATTTCTCGGCGTTCAACGACTCGTCGAAACAGCGAGAAACAATTTCCACGATTCGCTCTGGCCATCGATCTATCTCTCCGGCTTCTTCATGAATGATTAATAGAATGATAAATTAAAACGAAAGGAAGTGCAAGACCGTGACTCGTAGAAACTCGACCTGCAATTCGGTGGTTTCTAGGACGCAGACGGTCATTGATAATAATCTTTGCTTCGGTAATTTGTTCCAGATAAACACGTACGGTACGCGCTAGAAATGATCAACCCTCGTTTGAGGGAAAACAAGAATCCGAAAGACGAACGTTGGACGTTCGAAAATACCAAAGAAATTGCGTAAAAGATCGAAAACGTTACGAAGAATCTAAAATTTACGATGCTTTTAATTGCCTTGAAAAAATTAATAAAACTACGTCGAAGGAACACATTATCGATCTATGTATACTCAGCAACACTTGATTAAAGCGGTATTGTTTCTATAACATTGTTTACTTAACTGTGTATTAATACGTTCTATGCTTCTGGGAATAGTGGAATAGTTTATGGCTGCCGTATCTGCCATGTATCAGATGCTTAAATACGTTTTAATTTCTACAAAAGAACTCGTGTTCTAAAATTATCCATAAACACAGATAATGGGTGGAGCAAAACAATCGGGCTTGAAGAAGGAATGCAGAAGAGGCCCAATTCTCGTTCCACGATACCTGTTATCGACAGATCGATGGGGTTTTTTTCAGCAGCTTCGAGCGAAAACCGATGCCATAAGGCGGGGAACAGGGTTTAGTGTATCCGAGGACCAGTGAAAGCTACGACTTTCTTCGAAACGACAGACCACGAGGAGGGACACGCACGTGTGCGTCCTCGTGCATGCGGAGAAACGCTTCTACGTATACGCACCGCAAAATGACCGTGGGACTTTTTTAGAAACTAGCTACTGTCGGAGTAGCGCGGTCAATGAATTAGAAAGCACGCTGGGATGATGTTTCCTCGTAGTATTATCCTCACCGAGCACAATAGTGGAAAGAACGCCATTTTTTTATACCGCGATTACTACTTTAAAAGAAAGGTTCCGCGGTGCAATTAATCCGCCATTAGCGCAAGTGAGAATTTCTTATTGCAAACAAACCGCTGCAAGTTTTTTTTTTTTAAGAAAATTGGCCGTTAGAGGAGATTATCAGAATCATTGCAAAAAGGAATTTATCATTTCTGAAGAAAGGTATACTGAATTTTTTGAGCAAGTTAGTTTGTTATGAAATTAATTGCGATATCATTGGCGACCATTGGCCAGTCTCAACATGTTACCTGATCTAAATATCTTCACGCATCGAGCACGAACGAGTTAAATATGCAGTCCCACCGGAAGACTGTTATTAGGTCGGTTCGTACGCAAAAGGTTGATTAAAACTTGTATCATTTTCGCCAATTTCTCGGTAAAATGCACACGATCTAATAGCTATTACATCGCCATTTTTATTGAGAAATATGAGAATACCAGTATTGTATGAGATTCCAATTAAAAGAAAGAGTCGTTTTACAAACGTGTTTCACAGACTCTGTTACACTGACTCCGTAATGTTACATAATCCCCATTCAATGTAAATAATGTGACCCAACAAATTTATTATGTTACACTTTCTATCCACGATGACGATTTAATAACCAAGTTAGATCGTATCTTCGCGGAAAATTAGAGAACGATATTTAATTGCCGACTCTGTTCAATTTTCCTTTGTTGTTCGACCGGATAAGAGAATAGGAAACGTTTCTCGAGCAGCGGTAAACGGTTGTCGCGGTTGTTCCGCGAACACGGTAAAAGAAAACGACGAAGATGCGAAAATGTCGATATACCTTTCGTCGATGTCGTTGAACCGTGTTGCTTCGCTGCGATGGTGGTTGTTAATCTCCTCGTTATTGTCGGCTTTCGCGTAGCTGACGGACTTTTCTCTGAAAAAAATAGAATTCGCTGCGTTAACGAGACCACGTTACACACACGCGGACACCGGCAGTGCCTTAAATGACGTATCCTCGACTCTACGAGTACCGTTCGTGCGAACCGTTTCACTGTCCGCGCGAAATAATACGTCTGTACAAGCTCGTAGTCTTTCGTAGTAAAACTATATCACGCAACGTACGACAAAACTATGTTTCTACGACGAAAAGAAAATATTCACGGTGAAAACTAGGGTAGCTTTAGAAAAATTCTTTTCCTTACAAATATACAGTTTTAACGATTATCTAGAAGTACAGGTATTTGTTTCTGATTCCGGTAATTCGTTTACGATTTGCTGTCACGGTCGTTCGACGCGAAAATACAGCCCAGAAACAAAGAGAAATTGGGTCACGCGTCGTACGCGTACCAGGACCGCCAGTAAATAAATAAATAAATACCAGAATATTTACGATGGTACGAGGAAACCATTGCTGCTTCGATATTCCGGTCATACGAACCGTACACTGTCTGTATCGAAACCGGCTGCTCGCTTATCGTAATCGTCGTTCGGGCGCGAACCACGTTCGGTGGGTCGTCGCTAATAATGCCGATCACGAAACAGCGTCGGGAACACGTAGGTCACAAATCACGTCCGCGGGACGGAATATTTCAGCGACCCGCACGGGACAAAACGAACCGGCAGACTGAGTGGCAACGCCGTTGTTTTCCCGTTTCGAGTTGTCGAGGAACTGCCGGAACAACGAGCAGCGTTCGTGTGGCGGCAGGGGGTTTAAATCGTACACTCCGCCACGGGCAAAAGGGACGCCCTACCGTTACGATTTTTACCTGACTTCGAAAACAAAGACGACGCCGCCGGTGTACGCCCACGGCGGCCAATTATCGTACGATCGGCGACAACGAAATAAGAACTCGCCTAAATTAGATTCATCGTATATCGCTTTACGAATTAACGGTCGAGTATTACGTTTGTTAAGAACGAAGTTTCCATTTCAAGGAAAAGTTGCGAAAGAAAACGTAAACATTGCCACGATGCCGGCGGACGTTCGATGCATTTTCACTTCTCGGTCGTAAATTTACGCAGAAAGCGTTAACGTTAGGCGTTGTTCGTAGCGTAGATCGTATAAATAATTGACTCGGAGGAATACCAGCCATTAAAAAAATGCACACGGCGCTAAGGTTATGCGAATCAAATGAAATATCGCTGAGATTCTAGGCAGAAAGATCCATCGATCTCTTTTCTTTGGAAAACCCTATTCGTCATCGTGAAACTTAGCGTAAAGAACGTTTTGATGAGTCAGGCTCGTCATTGTACAAGGGGTTGACGAGGAACGATGAACATTATTTGATAGACATTTTCTAGGTAAACGACGAAACGATAGACGCAGTAATATCTATTTGCCGAAACCAGCATGGCCGTTTGCCAGTAATACTTTTCAATGCTACGCCTCTCACTGAAAATAGAACCTTGGTAGCGGTAGTTCGCTATCGACACGCAGATAAAGCATAGAACACGTTGTCGCGGATACGAACGAGCACGAACAGTTGCATAGGGGCAGGCGTTCAGAGAAAAAGTGTTCTCTTCGTCGTACTAGGTCTCCAACCGGAAGCACGCAGCGGTGCCCTCGACCTTTCGTTTCCTCCGTTCAATCAGCGAACAGACATTTATATATATATGGGGTGTGTAATGCTAAAAGTGTTGCAGACCAACGTCTCCCGAAGACTAAAAGGCTCGTGTCGCCGAAACTGTAAAGACAGAGGCTTTATTTATAGAGGATGTTGGAAAAAGGTCTCGACACTTGCAACGTGTACAATACTCGCTGAACAAAAGTCGCTCTCAACTCTCGATAATACTTCTCGTTACATAACTCAACAGAATCCTGTACTATTCACTTTCCTTTTTACCGCCAATAGTAAAACGATTTCAATTAAAGATTTTGCCAATCGTTGAATGCGACTTTCCTCGATGGAGTAAATTAAATAGCATTTTTCTTTCAGCTACCGTTGTTTCCCGCTTTTCATTTGCTATGCTCGATCCTTCTCGTACCTTTCTCTGCAATAAGTATTTACCAATGAACTTGTGTCTCTCAATTTGTCGTACGCTTAATTTAGAGGCTTGAGACTTACGTTTCAAGTAAGTTTCGAGACTTACATACAGGCTTGCCCGCGCCAATACTTTTGTTCGATACTGTATGCGAACTCGTCGCATAATTTGGGGCGCATTTACCGGCCCCTCGACACTCACCGAGATTGATGGTCGACATTTCTACGCAGTTCTTCTTGCTCTCGAAACTATTGACACGGTTCTGTTGGCTACCGCGTCCATTGGCTACCAGTCTTCTTGGTGGATTCACCGACGTTGGCGATCTCTCTGCAAATATAGAACGAAACGAATCAGACAATCTCAACGATCGTTGCACGCAAGATAAAAACTACCATAATCTTATTTGTTTCCCGGGTATCTACGCACGTACAACAAAGCATTCAAACTCTTACAATGGGCATTGTACACTGTTCCGTTGCCACATCCTGACTTTGAACCCCACTGAACATTTACGGGACCAAACAGAAGCGTCGGAGCTAACTATTATTAAAATATGACGATCGGTGGATCAACTATTTATATGCATTTGTTCATTTTCCAAACGCTTGAGTTTGACATGCATATTTTATTGGTCGAGTGTTATAAATGGAAGTGTCTCGTGTGTGAGTGTGCATTTATAACCGGGAATCGCGAGAACAACAAATAGTCACCATGACGCGTGGCATTACGTGTCGCGTGGTTCATCGACCGTGGAAATTCGTTTCTCTCATCAGTCGTAGCCACTTTAATAACATTTCGCGCATCATCGGAATCCGTGCTCGACGAGGCGTTAATAGCGAGACGGATCCTCCGCGGTGCGCTAAGTTTGAACCGTGTAGCTCGTCGATTATGCCAACGAGGAAAAGAAAACGTTTATTATGTACACCAGGCCGCACGTAGCCCGTTGCCTACGAGCTCGCATAACGGCCATCGTATGCGCCCGCGTGCATAATGGTTCGAATCAATCTCGCATGTGCGAGAAACTGGCGCGGAAAATATTCGACACTGTCCTGTACGACGATTAAGAATATTAAGCAACATTACCACGCGCGAACCGAGGGCTGTACGTGTGAATCTCGTCGGTGAGAAACGGAGGTAAGATGATAAATTTTGTTCAATTGCGTTCAATAACGCGTGACAATTGAGGTCTAAAAATGGAAGAGATCATCATCCTCGGGGGCTATAACCTCTGAACGCAAAAAACAATGTACCGGGTGTTTCATAGAAACGTTTAATCGTTCGTGCGATCGCCATTACGTTTGGTAACAATAATAGAAGGCAATAAAATATCCGGGGGTGCCTAACAGTACTTCGATCATGTTCGTTGCAGTCTGAGCTAATATTACCTACTCGGATATGTACATTCACCGGTCGAAATCTCATCCATCATCTTGCTATTTGGAAACACTTTCATAATGCTCCATGAATCATTTTCGTTCGTTCCGTTTTAAACGGTAATAACCGTCGATTAATTAAGTGGAATTAATAGCACTGCCCACGAGGACAGGTAAACGAATGGTACAATGTAAAAGCGACAAATATCTCGGCCAACTCTTTTAGGTACTTTGGCACGTTGAATAATACCGTTTCGCGAAGCGTTATTATTTAACACGACGATTATGACATCGTTTTCTACGCGAGCAGAGGTGTGCATCTTGCGACTAGAAACAAAATGAAGGACTTGAGCTACGAAACGTTTATAAAATAAGGGTTAAGAATCAGGTCAGCCAACGTATGTTTCATTAAGGTGATTGAAAATTCAAAAAAAGGAAATGCATCTGAAATATTCATTTTAGCAATAGCTTATTTTATATCCTGTTATTCAATTATACGGTTGAAACTCTAGTTTTCTTTACTGTATTTTTAAATTATTAAACAGGTCACTCGAGGAAACAATTTCCATCTCGTTTCCTAGACGATCGACCGAGATATAGATCGTCGAAGTCAAACGCGTCCGTACGGTCCGACTGTTTATGTTATTCGCCTGTACCCTAACCGACCCCATGTGTGCCCGCGTGCTTACGAAAGATCATCAATCGCTATTAATATTTTACGAGAGGACGATATAACGACCCGAGCTACTTTCCGACGAACTCATCGGGGAACAATGATCGATGAACAACGTAAAAGAGAAATCCCGCGACAAGGTGTGTAAGTAGGGTACCTTTGATCCTTCCCCGTAACGTTTTAGACTCGCTTAAGAGAAACCGTTCGACCCATCTACCTTTTCGAATGCCTATGCAACCGCCGTGAGCCACTCGGTCGCCCGTATTCGCGTCGTTGGAACTTTCTAGCGTTAAATGAACCACGAAGAAAAAGACAGGTGGCGGATAGCCACGGGGCCTCCTCTTTTTTTTTCCGTGTGAAACGAGATTAACGGATCAACGAGGCGTCTCCCTCGTCGCACCGGTGTGCAAAACCGCCTAAAATTTAAATATTCTCGAATATTCTCTGCGCGAGTTAAAATAATCAACAATGTCCTCCTCGAATCTCGAAAGCTTCTTAAAACTTAATACAACGTTGGTCTTAAATACTAAGCATTTATAGAGGTTTAAAGCTTTAAAGCTCCGAGAACTGTAGGGTTCGTACAACGCTAAATTCTGACCTCTCTTGAAGCTGCCCAGCCGCATTTTCGTCGAGTCCCTGACGAAATCCGTCCGAAGAGCCGGCCTACCCTTCGATCCTTGCTGCCCCATTTTGAAATCACACTTTCACCGTGGTTTCACCGTCATTCCCTCGTCGATTAAAATCAATATTCAACCCGTGGTGTTTTCGGAAGCCAAGCACGATGCTCGTCGGCCGGTTCGACGCCGCGATCGCAGGCCACGATCGACGGTCATGTTTGCGGGAAAACCTTTATTCCTGGCGATTTTGTTGCGCGAACCGTTAGGATCGTCCGGCCCGTGGAATTCGATGGAGGGATCAACACGAGCACCGGATCGATACGTTCGATCGCGAGCCGATTCCAGGTCCCGCGACCGCGTGTCTCTCTTTCACCGTGGCGATCGACGGCGGTGTCCTCAGCCCATGTGGGTTTAACATCTGATTCCGATGTCGATTGCGTAAGTGGTAGATCGGACCGGGTGTCGTAGCGGTGGTCGTCGGCCTTGGGGGACGCACGTGGTCGCCGGGTGCACCTGTCTAAAAAGGGTGGGGACAGACGGTGGAACCACCGGCGTGGTCGAGCGAAGGACGTGCACACGCACCACGGCGGAGAGGAGATGGCCGGTGAAGAAAGGCAATGCCGGAAATAAACCACTAGTGCCGTTGACCCGTACGTAAGCTCCGTCAGTCGTGAAGCTGCTAATGTACACGAGGAGAGTTTAGGACCGTGGCTGACGCGACGGATCCGCCGCGAATCCCTCTTATTCCTTCGTTCGCCGGGTCTCCGCGGTAAGCGCGACAACGTACCGAAAGGCACCTTTCGGTAACGGTATCTCGGTAAACTTTCATCGGGAGTTACAGAGAGGGGCAGATAATCCAGCCTCGAAGCGTTTCACGGGATAGCATATTGCCGGGGCAACGTCGAGGAAATCTTTGGCTCCGGACGATCCGAGGTGATGTTCGTTCGATCGATCCCTCCGGTGTGTCGGCGCGAGATGACGAGGGGGCTCCCGCGACACGTCGTGGAATCAGGTCACGTCGAGTGTATTCGCGTATATGGTTCACGCGGGTATCTATACGTCGCCCATCCGGGGTCGAGTCGAAGATCCGATACGGATAAGAACGAACGAAACGGGAAAGATGTTCGTCGGACGAACGTGTGGTTTCTACGAAGCACAGTTTCGATGCACTTTGCACCGTCACCTTGCGGTATTCACTGACGACGATCCACCGGCTGTTTCTCGCTCGTGTCCTTCTCTACTCTTTCTCTGTCGCGAGCGCACGCAAACTATCCGCGTACCCTCGATAAAATCGGTCAACCGAATGGGGCACGGAGTACGGAGATCGTACGCGTGAGCGAGAGAGAGGCGGATACAGGCAGGAGGAGAAGGAAGAGTAGGACCGGAAATGCAACGCGCGTGCATAAACAGCGGTCCGAGCGTGCACGAGGTCCGCCGAGGACTGCCGACTGGATGCTGCCACTGTCGCGGCTGCGGCAGCTCGGCCCGACTCGATCCAATGGAAATGAAACTGCCCAGTGGCGCCGGAAGAGGGGCACCGGCGCCCTCGCTCCTTACGACGTCTAAGTTTCGCGCGCCCCGTACGGGTCGATACATAAACACCCTCCTACGCCCACGATCGTTCTACCACCCCGCCCCCTCTGCGGATAGAAAACCACCTACGCGCGGATCGACGACACTCGCCGACAAACCGAAGACGCGTGCGTGCACTCCGGGGAAGGGAGGGAAATAGAAATAAATTGATTCGGCGTGTTTCGTGTTTCGTGTTTCGAATTTCAAGGATAACACGAATTCTTTAAATCGACGACAGCCTGACCGTGCCACGACGTGTACGCCTGTGTCTACGTATTTACATGCCACACGGCGATCGACGCGACGCGAACTAACCTCGTTAAAACGGATACGACGTGGAGTAACCTACTAGAAATACACGTTTCAAGATTTGTAGTTTTCTTGTTGGCATTGCAACGTAGATTGAAAACCAAGTGCCACCCTCGTTGGTAATGTAGAGTAACGGCAGATGGTCGAATAACTGTTTGATTGATTTTGGGTAACAAGTGGCACACCCCCTTTTAGGCATGTGTGTAAGCTATTTGAAACGTTCATTTGAGAATATTGCTCTCAGGATATCTTTGTAGCGATCGTATAGAAACATTCTGGTCTTGAAGAGGGTACCACAACTTGGTGACCGGAAATGTCAATTAATTATAGAGTTATTCGGATATCTGTTATTGCTCGATATCGTAAAGAAAGGTTACTCTTCTAAATATGGAAAGCTTAAATTTCGCGGTACTATAATTAAACTCTTCAGTCTTATTATTTTGTTCCTCTTCACTGATAAATATATAAAAATAGCTATAAAATTACGTAACTCTCCGATGAGCATAGATTACTAACGTAATCGAATAATTATGTAAAGTTGAGCAGGGAAATTTTAATTAATTTAAGAAACTAATTGCTCAACTAAAACCGATATAAATTGACTATTAAGTTCTTCGTAACATTGTCTACCGGAATTTTTATATAACCGTTTGAAACAATTATTTTCTGGAACTTTCCAAAACCTGAACTAAGGATGATTTAGGTATTTTCTTAAAGCAGCAATGCGACAAGGAGTGGTCCGCGTTCCCACGTTACTGGAGGTCGGTCGGTACTATCGATACCTTGATTAGAAAAATCAGTATGAAATAGCAAGAGCATGCGCGTTCTTCCATGCCCGCGTCGATACTTCTACGTCTACTGTCTCGAGCTGCCCTTCCTCGATCGAAATCGTTAAATCGAAACGTAAATGTTCTTCGTAACGTGCACAACCGATTATTCATTTTGTTGACCTTTTGCGGTCGGAACTTTTTCTCGCGAAAAAACGCATGGTATGCGGTCGAACATAATTCGATATCGCAAAATCGGTTGGCATCATGTTTATTCAAGCTCCGCCGTTCTCCGCAAGGTCTTCCCGTCACGGTTTCTACCACTACAACTTCGCAATCTACCTCTCCATCAATCTCACACTAAACCTATACGAGCGTACAATACACCGTGAACGCAACGAGTTCCTCGAGATACGAGCGTAACACTCTCACGATTTAAATGAAATTACGACAATGGCAACGCACCGTATTGTTATAATCGTTATTAACATTGGGAGAAGATGCGGATAGATTCTAATTTAATTCGCGATCGTCTGAATATGGACGTTAATTCAACTTACTTGACGCGTCCTTGCCGAGTCCGGTACTGAGATCACTCAAGGAGCTACGAACGGAGCTTCTGGCAGTTTCTTGGATCGGCGATTTCATTTCTTGACGGCCACGTATTCTCCTGATAATTAACGAACCTCTTAGCAATGCTAAATAAACGTAAACCTTCGGACATCGCAAGATTGACGACCGATCTCTCACCTCTTGTCCTTGTTGTTATTGTTATTAGCGTCGCCAGCCTTTTTCTGCGTCGATCCCGTGGAAGATGGCTGACCGAGGCTCTGCAATACCCTCGACTTCACCTCTTTCCTGACCGGCCTCGTTCTTTGCTCGTTCTTGCCAGCTTCGATTTTACTCATGACCGCGTCCCAACGTCCACCCTTTCTAGACGACCTCTGCGACCGCCGGGCCTCCTTCTCCGCCTCGTCTTTTGGCCCGGATTCGATCATCGCCTTGATCTTCGAGACCACATTCCTCTTAGGCATTTTGTACTTCTTCAAAGGAACCGTGTCGGCCTTGCTCTGGCCTTTCGACCGCATATTGTCATTGTTTCTCTCCACCTGGATCACCGTGACCTCCGTGGCGGTATTCATCGATCCGTTCGATTCTGCCGACGCATTCAAAGGACTCGGAGCAACCTAAACATCATCGATCGCACGATATATCAACAAACCGTACATATGTTTCCGTGTGTCGTCTCGTAAGTGTGTTTTGCGTGTCTCGTTGGGTAAACTTTCGACGACGACGTTAAGTTGTCGGGAGAATGTGTCTGAGATAAGCAGTCGATATCGTTTTTATCTGCAGTAGTCACCACCTGTTTTTCGAATCTGGCAAAAGAGGACACGTTACACAGCCTACCGCGAAACATCAACGTAACTTATAAAGAGAGTGTACCGTTTAAACAAGCGCACGTATTATGGGTTCCCTTGCGAGCTTGATGGTCAAGAGCCGTCTGATGAAAACTAATTCCTATGAAAATCGGAGCATCGATAAATTAACCCGGGTATGGGAAGCCATTGTGGTAAATGTGGTGTACGCACGTTGGGAACAACAAGTGTGTGTACGCATGAACGAGTGGGGAGAGAGCTATGGGACACTGTGACCGCGGGCTACATTGTGCAGCGAATGCATGGCAGAAAAGAGTGTCACCGTAATAAAGAGTCCACCACGAACAATCTTCATATTATACCCGGAGTCTCGTGTACGTGTACATATTTACTTCGAATGAAATTCACAAAGGCCATAGATGTAATAATTTATTCTGCGAGTCGTACACGTCGTGTCGGAATGATACTCGCACGGCAGCGTCGTATTGCCATTTAACACCCCGCACATTTTACAATTATCGTTCAAAGAGAGTTCTATCAACGATAATTTGTTCGTACAATCAACGTTGATACGACTTTTTAAACGATAATTGTAAAGTGTGTAGAAGTTGTACAATCTAACGCATGACACGACCGTGTTGGACTCGTACTGGCAACTATAGTTGCAACTCATCTGTATCGATAATTAATCAGAGTGGGAGATATTTATCTATCATGGCATCAATTAAGAACAAGGACCCTAATTTTTATAATCTGAAAAGTTTCATCGCTATGTTACTATTTTATCAACAACCACTCGATAATAAAAGAGTTCAATAATTGCATTAAATTTGTCGTTCTAAGAAAAATGGCAAAGGCAAGTTAGCGAGGCCCCGTTATTGACATTGTAAATAACGCAGAGACTTGGCTCGAGTCACCATTACTAGGAATTAGTAGGGATAAATTGTAGTATAAACAGACAAGTTCGTTGCTATATACCCAAACACCACCTGTGTTTGGTAATTACTGGGTCGAGTCGTATAGTAATTGCCGGCCCAGGTAGCGTGCCATAAACTTTGTAGGGAATTCCGAATGACCTGCATCTCCCTTTCGGCTGCCGTGCTTATCTTATCTTAGATGATTCAACGGTCTAAGAACAGCAGTCGGAAAGCATAGAGCCGCTAGTACATGTAACGGGGAAGTCAACATTCATCGTACAACGTCGTGCAAGTTCCCGAATAGTAATTGTTTCGTAACTCTTTTAAAATAGAAATGAACTACGAAGGAACAGCAATTACGTATGACTCAACCCAATATGATTCAGGTAGCCGTGGAACAAATCGTTACGTCTATGGCCCCTATTAAATAAACATAACGCGCAGTTTCACCAAATGACCCGACAGTGAAAACGATCGACTCGCCTGCAAGTAATTCATGATAACCTCCGCGTGAACCGGCGACGGCTGACTTCTCTGCGAGACCTCCGTGTCGATGGTGTCCGGCGTATGATCCTCGTTCTTGTCCACGGGCTCTTCGGGGGCTTGCAGTTCGTCGTGTCTTTTATCGAGGTCCGAGTAAATTCCGCTCGAGTCCATCTCCTCTCCGGTGAAGCTCGGGCATCTTCGACCGCCGGGCGCGCAGAACAGCGTACCATCGATCACCTGGGCCTTCCTATCGCCGCGTACGATCTCCTCGTACGCGTCGGCGTCGCTCTCCGTGAAGAAGTCCGAGTCCGTCATCGGGTCTTGTCTGCACGGGGCAGGAAGATTCGGTGGCGGCGCAACGGACGGCGGATCGGCTCCGCGGCTCGCTGGCCTCGAGTTCTCGCCGTCGCCTTGATAACCAGCCTCGAGGCTGGTGATGCTCGTCACGGACGTGACGAAACTGATCGGGACGCCGGTGCCGCGGACGGGTTCCGTGGGCTTGGGGTCGAGCGGAAGCTCCTCCGGAGACGGTGTTCTCTCGCTGGACGCCTCCTCGGTCGGCTCGACGTCCACCGACGGTCTCGACGCAGACGCACGCGTCAACGCTAATCTCGAGCCCGCTGATCCCGTAAGATTCTCGCAGGATGGTGTTCTCGAGCACTCTAGCGCGACTGTGAAGTCGGCCATCTGGTCGGGGGTCAGTATACCAAGACTTTCGTCGTGTTCGAACGAGTTCTGCTTGTTGAGCATCAAATAGTGCGGCGTCGCGTTCACTGCGCTGTCATTGTAAGAGCCCAAAGACGAGTCCAGGAGGCAGCTCTCTCCAGTGTCCTCGATCATATTCAGCTGAGAGTTCTCGAGCAAGCTGTAAACAACCAAACGGGACAATACCGCTTTACCGTCCGTGGAATGTTCTACCCATCTGTTTGGAGAATGTTTTCTGCGAACAACGACACGTCGAACGAGCGCCAGGTAAGTTTTCCCCGTACGCGACGCCCTCGCAGACCGCGCAGGTATTTGCATTCGGAATCCTCCGACGTTCTTACGGTCGACGCGAGTCAGGTTGAATCCGGGGGCCGTAAAATACTTTTCAGAATCCCCAGATGTTGGACGGGTGTACAAGGTGTTCCGGTAATGGCGGTAGAACCGCGCAAAGGGTGATTTCTCGCGGCAATAAAATCTTTCTTTGAGACTTTTGGCCCTACCTATTTATATGATTTTTGGATACTTTAAAGGACTTTAGTTTGTGACTACTAAATTCTTTATTATAAATTGAGACTCGGGTCTAATTGTGTTTAACGGTGAATGCAAGGACAACGAATACCATTTGCAGAATCCGACTCCAAACAGACGGATAGACACGTGCGAGACACGTAGTAAAAACGTGGCACGGTATACCTGAAAAAGTTGCTCTTCTCCTCGGCAAAGTGAACCAACTGTTGCACGTCATCTTTGTCAATATCCCACACAGGCGATATCTTGAACGTCTTCTGCCCCGAATCTGCAAAAGAAAGCGTCGTTGTTAGATTGCTGGCTCTGGGGCGCGTAGAATTATCAGCAGACGAGCCTTTTTAGACACTCGTAGATTAGACGCTTACCTTCTATCGTCGGCGTGGATACGGCCCGTGGCACGCACTTGGTTTTAGGCGTGGTTGACTCGTCCTCCGCGTCGACGAACTGCAAACATCCCGAGAGCACCAAAGAACGTCGATGCCCCGGTATCAGCGTCGGCGTTCCCAGTATTTTCGATTTCGGGAAGAAGGATGGTCGTGCCGCCCGTGGCACCGGTATCCGGCTCTCCCCTACGTTCTGCAATCGGAGAAACGAGAACGATAAGTACGCGTGCGCCCGCTAATCGTCGACTATCTCACGCGTTCGTTCGTTCCGTAGCAAAGCACGCGTTTCACGGAGACGGCCATAAATTCCTCCATTAATGTTCTAATCAGTCGAACCGTCTCGAACCCTGAAGCTTGCGTTAACTGAATATAGGCGGGCTCGATCGCGTTCCAGCGAACAAATTAAATCCGGTGGGAACGGTACTTCGGATCGATGTATCGGCGCCGTCCTTCAAACGGATCGACGGAAATTGATCCTTTCTGTACCAATGATTTCATGATATCGTGAACCTTTAAAAAAATTTAATTTTGCAAAAGCTTGTGCTCGAATTCCTGAAAACCAGGAACCATCGACGCCATTGTTGCGCCAAATTATATTGCATTTCAATCACGTAATTCAATTACACTGTATTTCAATTACAAAATTCAAACGTTTCAGCTAATTGGACAGCTTGATTATTCTAATAATTAATTCAATCGAAATACAATGGATACGAGCTTTGTGTAATTGTGCAACGTCGCCACCGAGAAGCAACGGTGGGAAGATTGTGCCATGTGACCATATGACACCTCCAAGTGGGGATCGAAGAAGAACGATATTAGTTGAATTGATTTTTTCATACTTATCGAGCGTAGTTCACTAGATTCTAGCATTTTTCTATAACTCATAGCCTTTGAATTCTCTGAATTGCAGCTTACAGCATCGAAGGACTGAGATTAATTTATTTATATATTTATCTTATGAATTCGAAGTTAAGCGATAATTGATAATACGAATTTATCGAGAGCTAACATGGCTCTATTACTGATTAGTGATAAGCTAAAAATGTTCTTCGATTTTGTTCCGTTAAGTAACGCATTTTATTTTATTTTTTCCTACATTTCATAGTAACGGAAGTGACTCGGACGTTCGATTTGGGCGAATCGTTCTAAACATATATTTTTTTTTTATAATTAATTCCAGATAGGATTAAGGGGGAAAAAAATGGAACGAGCGCTGTTTTTCAAGGTCAAACGAAACGCTTGACCCGAAGATTCGCGCGAAGAGTCCGTTGCCCTTGGCCCATCTCCAAATAAAACCCTTCGTCCCGAGGTGAATCAGAAGTGTCTCTCTGGCAGTTGGCTTTAATTTAATTTTAGCCGTGGTCCGCCGCGTTAAGGGGGGATTCTCGTATAATAGCTCTAAAAGTAACCGATGTATTAAAAAACCCTATTGTTTCCAACTTGGATCGAGTTCCGTTTTAAAAAAGGAAATGCATCTTCGGATGCATCGATGCATAAGAGCAACGCTCCTGCGACCCTCTGCCTAAGGACACGCGTGACCCAACGAAAATATCGGTCGGTGGTCGATCGTTGTTGGCTGTTATCGTTCGAGTAGGTTTACTCGGCGCGAGTGTCTGATGTATGCGCAAACAACACGCGAGACAATGGTTACTATCAGAACTTGAACGCCAGGTATTTCGAGTATTTGCTCGCAAGATCGATCCGATGAAGCTCTAATAAACGCGATTAGGCTGTGCAACTCCGGTGGCGTAACCCGATGGAACGGGGCGCCCTACAGCGAATTAGAGAAATATATTTGGAACCGCGTGTTTGACAATTTGATCGGTTCGGAATCCTATTAAAAAAAGATTCCACGCGCGAAGATAACAGTGTACGATGTTCGAATGAGTGTTAAACGACCGCCGCGCCACCTAGAAAAATAACATTTCTACCGAACGAAGAACGAATCGGTGTTCCAGTAGGAGATACGCTCGAAACTGCGTCGAGTGGGACGAGACAATGGGTCCAAGGATCGAACGGACTCGCGCGTGCAAATAATTCAATTATGAAACGTTAAGACGGTACGTGGCTCGCTGACCGAATATTCTCGTTACTCACGCCGTACGTCAACGCGTTCCTAATAATAGTAATGCCGATGGTCTGGTCAAAGCGTGGAGGAACCAGCCACTAGAGTAACAGAGTGCGTTCACCGACGACCCTGTTGAACGACGCCGCGACTGGGAACTGGGTTACATCGCCCGCGAGTTTACCGCGAACCGATGTTGCTCGACGTCCGCGGGTACCCGCACGCAAATCGCGCCGATCATCGATCAACCGGCGATATTTCGTCACCGAGCGACCGACGACGGCGACTTTTTACACAGAAACGATAAATTATTCAGCAGCGATGCATTATCACGTTACACGGACGCGCGTTGGCTCCTCCGTCTACACGCGTGACGTGGTCGGGTTCTCTTTTTTTTCTTCTCGACAAAGCGCGAAGCGGTTAAGCGATTCGAAATCGATCGATGCTCGCGCCAAACGTTCGTCATCGATCTAAGAAAATGTCAGGGTCAAGAGGGCCGACGAGGAGATATCGACGGGAACGAATCGACGTTAATATTGCAGCGGCTCCGTCGCGAACGCTACCGACGCGAAAACGTGGCGCGGATCGACGGGCAAAGGCCAGGCCCGAGCATAACTTGATTCCATTAGGCCTTAATTCGCGCCAATTCGAGCCGCCTACCCGGTCGTTATCTCTCTTTCCACGCGAGACGGGGCAACTGTGTTAATTAGGAGCACATTCGTCTAGATTTTTTTTCTCGCTGTAACGGAATCACGGCGGAATCCTTGATTCACGACGATCGGGAAGGGGACAATGGTAACCATTGTGCGGCCCGTGGAAGAATCCGTTCGCGTAATCTGATCAACGTTCGTCTTCCGATTCGTCGTCGGTGCCCGTTGCACCGGCGCTCGTCCTCCCCGATCGGCGAAATCGGCGTCGGAGATTGAAAAGTACTCGGGAACGCTTTCTAAAACCAGAAAGACTTTCTAAAAGGCGACGTCGTTTTAGAATTTATATATGTATAAATTACGGGAGGCGGTACCGTCGCGCGCCGGATGTCGTCGTCGATGTCAAACGAAAACGAGAGGAAAGAGAAAAAAACGGAAGCGATCGGGGACTTTTGCGCAATTCCGTTTGGCCGACTAGGCAAGCAAGAGTCGCAGACGCCGTTTGGCAACGTCGACCTGCAATTTGCTCGATCCGCTCCGCGCGACCGACTGGCACACGTGACGCGTGTTATGATCCCGTAAGCTACGTAATTCCGGCTTGTCGCGATTTGAATAGAATTAATTACCGCACCTGTGCGCTCGAGCGACCAGAGACGTCTGAACGCGTGAGACGTTCGAACTGTACGGCGTAAACGGTCCGGGCGATAAGACAGAGTTCGAAGGTCTCGACGTGATCGGCGCGTGTCGAACGCGTCGTGACACGATCTCACCGGTGGCCAGCGACGTTCGCACGTACCCGATTGCGAGCCTCGAGAGGCGCATCGTTAACCGTCACGGGGCGTCCCGCTTGCGTAATCGCGATCCCCGGCAGCACCGAAATTAACGCGATGTTAAAGCGTGCACGAACACAGAGACCCCCCCGTCCCCCTTCCGTTTTCGTTCGCGAGCAAAAGCAACAACGACGACCAGTCACGCGAACAAGAAAAGCGTTCGACTCACAACAATCGGCTGCTGATCACCGTTCCTCTTCACGCCACTTTTGCCGCCCTATGATTCGATATCCACAGCTAGTGCCAGTCACCACTTTCCCTCGTCGCGTAAAAAACGCCTCGGACGGTTGGTCGACGGCACCGACTATTAATAAATCTTACTATCCGTGAACCGAGTCACGGGACGGGACGGATTCACCCCATTCGATCCACTCGCACCGGCGAAACCAGTCGATTCGAGAACCTTCTTCCGAAACGCGGACAAAAACGCGGGAAAGACTGTCCCCTAAACGCGTAGAAGGGAAACCCGAGACGAGAGAAGAACGGATCGATAACGAGCGGCACGATCGCGATGCGCCCGCCGCGTGTACGACAATGAAACGTTCCGGATTCGCTCGCCGATCCCCCGGTACTACCTATGCCACCACCGAGCATCCGCGCACCTAAACAGCCGCGCAGTGGACACTACACACGCGTACGCGTTTCGACGTGTGCGTGCACACACCTCGGCGAACGGACGAGCGTACCGAACTGACACTCTGTAACGACGATTACTATTCTTCAGAAACACACAGTTTCTGCATTCACCGGCCCGTGAATCCGTGTGTACGCGCCGCGGCCGACCTGCGCGACGGGGACTGTACAACGCGAACGCCGTCCACCCGGGAACAAGGCTGGCGTTTCAGTTACGAGGTTGACACCGTCGCCGTTTTTTTCCGTTGACAAAACGTCGTCTACCTGCGACGCACACCTGGTCAACGGTCCCTGTCAACGTACGGATCCCTTCGTTGACAATCGAACGGAACAATCTGTTCGCGATCTCATGCAGCGCGGGCGTAGAAAGTCGGCGAAGATTTGTACAGGCTACCACAAAATGTTACCACCCACCCCGTCGGTACGGTAGACGAAATTTCTATGGGAACGCCACCGTTTCGAATAAACGAAGTAAAACAATGAAAAGGAAGGAACGCCACCGTTTCGAACGAACAAAGTCAAATGGAGGTTAGGAAGCGATGAAAAGTAAAAAATCGATATCGAGATTAAAGTAGTGCATAAGTTCACTGCAGTTAAAGTCAAATATCCCGATAATAACCACCGGGAGGTGATTTTTTGTACAAATGGCGGTCCTTTTACAATATTTCGAATCGAATCGCGGAACCGTTAGACACGGTTGATTCGATTGGTCGCATTGCGCTTCGTAAGGCCTCGGTTAGGCGAGTATTTTTCATGCTGCGTTTCTACAGCGAATAAAACGGACAAGCGTGTTTCGCACGCTGCGTTCTTACGGTGAATAAAACATACGTGCGTTTTTTCCAACGCTGTAGAACAGTGACTGTTGTACGCGTGTATAAATTAGAACGAATATTGTACGGTTGGAATGCGTGTCTATTATTCGTATACTATTAAAGGAAAAAAGAAAGAGAAATCGACGTCGGTGGTACCGTCCGTTTCTTAGAAACGGACGCAGCCAGAAGAGCGTTTCCGAGCA